CAACAGTATCTCAATCAAAGCACAACAGGGATGAGAAACATTTGTCATCACTGAGTCAGTCAGAGCAACAACATGAGGCACTCTCTTGGTTCTTCTTAAATATTAACCACCTGAATGTATCCAGCACAGGAGATCTGTTTGTTGGAAAACACATGAAAAAAAGATTAACCAAGCAGCCGTTTCTCTGCTTTTGCATGTCATGCTCCAGAACTGCTGTGGAACCAGAGGATTCCCAGTAGGGAAGGAGTTGCACTTCAAGTTACCTTTAAAGTTGCTGGTGAGAGCTGATCTTGGGCTTCTATGTGCCCATTCTGGGAATAAAAACAATGATATTTTTTCAGTTATCTCACTCCAAAGTGAGATAACTTGGAGGTTTCCTAGCTATTGTGTGAGTGTAATTGGAAAGGATAGCTCTAGATCTAGAAAGCAGCCTGTCATTAGCTGTCTAGGATCTAGGAGTTTATGTCACCGTAAATTGTTTATAATTTTTTGTACCACTGTAAAGTAAAAAAAAATAATAAAAAAAAGCAGTAGTTGCATTCATTTTGGTAGAAGCATGCAAATGCCTTCATAAATTACCAGGCTTGAAAAATTAAGCTGCTACTTTCAAGGCCAAATTTTTAAGGATATGTCAATCAATTTTTCATTAATGTCATTACAGTTATTGGGAGGTGGTGGGAAGATTTGCCCATCATTTTCTCTTTACTGGGATAAGCCCAGACTGTATATAAGCAGTGCTGTCAGTGTGTGCCAATTGGATATGAGGTGCACCATCTGTAGAAGCAAATGACAATTAAAAAAAGACGTATTAGAACAACTGTGCATGAAAAGAGGCAATACTGGAGAAATTGGACCAAGATTTCTGTATTTCTTATAGAGGTAAAAATGTCTGTTATATGCCATACTCATGTAAGAGATGTGAGGAAATAAAACTTCTGAATGTAAGGCAATTTCTCTTTTTTCATTGTTAAGATTTAATACATTTTGAGGTTGGAGAAGGTAGCATATCTCATAACAAAGTGGCTAGTACAGAATGTAAAAAAAAATAACTTAAATAATGAGGGCATTTTCCTCCTTCTACATGCAAATTGTCTCATATTTCAGTTTATTTCAGTATAAATTTATTCTTGTGTATGCTAATACACAGAATCTGAAAAAGAAAAAATATTTAAATGCATTATGAAACATATGGAAACATACAGATTATGTGATCTTTAGTAAAATCTATCTTAATGATGAAGGTACCATTTAGCATGCACTCTGGAACTGCGCTCCTTCATTTATTTATGAGTTCCTGTAGACAAAGAAAGTATCTTCCAGAAATAGGAATACCATATTTTCAAGGCATACTGTGTATTTTATTTTTGAAACTAGTAAATGTCAAACAGTATTCATACACAGTATTGACACATTAATGTTTTCATTCAACAGTGAAGATACCTTCCCTTATTACATTATATATTTATGACACACAGAGCTGTCAAATAAATTATGTCAAAGCATTTACAGCCAGACCTCGTGACACTTGAATCATAGAATCAGGGCAAATAACCTTTAAAATGAAAGACATATGACAAGAATTAGAAACATTCAATTTGCATAAATATAATGTTAACAGTCTTTTCCTTATTATGTATTTTATGCCTAATTTTTAATTGCTGTTATACTCATTCTTTAACATCAGTTTGCGCTCTCTTTTTTTCCTCATTGCTTGCTTTGTTTTGGAATGCGTGAAACAAATTCTATAAGAAGCATATAATCAGATCACCATTTTAATATACTCTGGTTAGCAACTCTTAAATATTGAGAAAAACTCTTTACTTACATTATATAATATTTAAAATGTAGAATAAATTTCTAAAAATAGCTATAAGATCCTAAACACATAAAGTAAATATATCAACTCTGATAACTTTGGACCATCTTTGCAAAAAACAATCTTGTATTAAAATTATCCTATGAAGTGCAGAATACACCAAATGTGCAAAATTGAAGCACTGATTTGCAAAAGCTTGGTGAATCATGCATACTGAATTTTGCAAGATAAAATCTGAGCATCTAAATATACATACAAGAATCAAAGTGAATGGTTAGATTTTTCAGAATTGCTTACTAAGAGTAGTAAACTCATTAGTTTCATTACTTGAAACCTGTTTGTAAATGAGAGACTTCCTCAAGCCTCTGCTGGCAGGTGCAGTCTCTCTGTCGCACCTTTAGAAAGTACTGAGGGCAGAGGGAACTCTGCTTTTATTGCTAACACTGTATAAGTTGATGGATGTAATTGCAGTTAATAAAACTGCATTATTTGGAAAAGTCCCTAGGGATGCTCAAGTAAATAAGGCTGAAGGTATGAAGATGAAGGGCACAAATAACTAAACCCCTTATTGTTCCTGGCTGTAATTCACTCCATTGTGATAGTGTGGCCAGGCCTGCACAGCCATAAGGACATAGAGACTTTGAGCAGGCTCTTTGCTACAGGATGAGTTTGGCTTCCTTTGCCCTTCTGGATCAGAAGAATAAGTATGGTTTATTCTAATTATGAGATTCTTTTATAATAATGGCAGTTGGACTAGACGATTGCTGTTGGTTTCTTTCAAGTGTTACTCTATTATATTTAATTCCATTCCAGTGAAGCTAATTGTGATGTTTTGGGTTGGGCTTCCAAATATTTACATAATAATTCTCTGACAGCCAGAGGAAAGCCAGTGGACAGTCTGTATAAAAAGCATTGAGGGAAGGGTTGAAATTGGTAAGTGGGAATTGCCTCCAAAACTTAATCCTAAACTTAAGGTTTAAGATTCACGGAAGAATTAAGCAGTTGTTTGTCAAGTTATTGACTCTGTGAGTGGCACAAACATGCCACCACCAGGGATTTGCAGAGACCAACTCAGGGAGGGCATGAGGCAGCTCCCATCCCACCAGCAGAGCAACTGGGGATCTGGAAGTCCACGAGGTCTGATGGCAGGGGCATCCTGGCCACTTGAAGACAGGTAATGCACAGCCACATATTTCAGTAAACAGCAGTAACTCAGAAGGGTGGGTGAAAGAGAAATGGAATCTGCATCAGTAGTTTGTAATTTGCAATTTGCTCTTACAAGTCAGTGGTAAAAAAGAAATTACACTCCCTCGCTCACTGTCCATAGTCATATAGTGCAGTTCTGGTTTGACAGAGCTTGAACTCAGTACAGGTATTTTAGAAGAAATTTAATAGGCAGCTATCTTCACATGTCCCTTAAACACTATTCTGCTGAGAAAACAACCATCCTAAGTGATGCCACTTGCCAGACAGGGAATCTAATTAACAATGCATACTCTCAGAAATGGAAAGTTATTTAAACTAATTGTATATAGCAAAATAGATTACAGAAAAATTATCCCAAAGCCCAGTGTTGGAAGGTTGGAGTTAATAATAAATGTTCATCCCTAAACCAGCCATTTCACTGGGCAAAAATTATTCCTATTGAAAGCAGCAAAAATTAGAAGCTATTTTGATAAGCACTACAAAATTGATTATTTAATGCAGAAGGTTTCTTAAAGGGCTAATACTAAATGAAATTTTAAAAGTATCTGCATTGATCCATTTACAAGATCATTCAGAATAAAAGTGAAAGTCTTCTGAAAAGTGAAAGATGTTGTCTTTGCTAAAGACCCTATTTTTAACAATTTCATTAATCAACTAATCTATAAATTTTCAGAAAAAAATAACATTTAACCAACAAAGAACAAATGCTGAACCTAGTAGGAAAGATACCATTTATTCATTTATTCAGTTTGCAGTTAAGTGGAAATCTCCATTCAACTGTGACATGAAATTGATGCTTCTATGATTAAAGTACATTGTAAATAGTTTCTAAAGTGTTAATAAATTACTAAAACTGTTTCAGGAAATTATTAATCAAATGTTATAGCCTGCTACTGAGTCCAGTGATGTAATGAGCATTTGCAATCAGCTACAGCATCTGAAATTAATGTGCTTGGGACAATATACAGAATTTATTTCTCCTGCATATAATGAGTTTCTCACAGTTACTTATCAACCTTTTACATAGTAATTACCAAAGCAGTCTCAGAAGAACTTGTGCAGAACATTTCTGGTCCTCTGTGGGACAAAGTAGGGAATAACTGCAAGTCACTCAAAATTGAAAGGGCAAAAAGCCCCATTACTCTCTCCCATTATCGTGTGTGGGGTGACCAAGACTTGAGGAAAAGTTTATCAATGTCTTAACTATGCAGAGATGCAGAAGTCACTCCATGAGGCATCTCATCTCCTGCAGGCAGCAGCTTTGGGCAGACAGAGCAAGGAGGATCCAGACAAACATACAGATGTAACTGGTGCTGAAAACAACACTTAGAACTAGATTTTGCCTGTATGTGTCAGCTGCACAAAGCACCCTTGTACTTTTCTCCTCTCTATAGTGTAAGATGGCCATTATGGCTGTGCCATTTTAATTTACCCTTAGCTTCCATAGATTTTTTAAGTAGATTAAAAAAAGAACCAAAACAAAAAAACAAAAACAAAACTACTTCCTTATCTTTGTAATTTGTTGATTCCTTTTTGCTCAACTCACGTTTTGCTGCTGGTGTTCACATAAAGGGAACAAAGGCAACAGGGAAGAACTGTACATAGAATCGTAGAATAGCCTAGGTTTGAAGGGCCCTTAAAAAACATCTGGTTCCAACATCCTCCCACGTGCAGGGACACCTTCCACTAGAACAAGTTTGCTGAAAGCTCCATCCAACCTCACCTTGAACACTTCCAGAGTCAGGGCATCCATAACTTCTCTGGGAAACCAGTTCCAGTGCCTCAGTATTGTCACAGTAAAGAATTTTTCTTCTAATATGTAGTCTAAACCTGCTCTCTCTTTCAGTTTGAAGCCATTCCTCCTTGTCCTATCTCTACATGCTCTTGCAAATAGTCCCTCTCCATGTTTCTTGTAGGCTCCCTTCAGGTACTGGAAGGCCTTAATATGTTGCCATATAACATGATACTAATGTGGTAGTATAATCCATAAATACAAACCAAAATGCTCAACCTGTGAATTTCTCCACCCATTTTGTGTGGTCGCACACAATATACTGCACATCAGGATTGTGGCTGAAATGTGGCACACACCTTTATGTGTTTTTTGTGATCACCTTTCAGCTGCCTTAGCTGAAGATTTCAACACCAAACAAATCACAACTCAAACTGAAAATGCAGACTGTAAAACATGTGCTGGAAAAAATAAAAAGTTTTGGAAAAATATTACCAGTTTTTCCTCTACAGTCTGAGCTAAAGATTTTCTGTGGCTTTGAAAATGTAGCAAACCATAATAGCACAAGACAATAGACAGAGGCAATCCAGCGTTCTTAGTCAACATGCATCTGCCTTCTCTGTACATACTTGCAAGTTCTCCCATTGATCTGGACAGACATTAAAAAGCATACAAAACCAAGCAGAAAAAGTGGAAGCATATGATAGCTGTGATATGATGCTGTTACTGCAAATGGCTCTCTTGAACAGGGGAAAGACTAAAGCCATTAGAAAAAGTATGCATTGATTTATGCCTTCCTGCAAATACTCTGTCAATTACAACATACTCTTTTAAGAATTCTTAATGTCTCTATTCCACACACAAAACTACAGATGCATATTATAACTAATGTTACAATAGAAGATACCTAAAAGAATACACCTAACTGGTAAACACAGTACCTCGTGTCTGCTTTCTAATAATTTGTATCTAAATGTATATAAAAATATTATATAAAACCACAATAGAACAATTGCATAAAAATTCTGAGTGATTGCAGCCAAAAGATTTTCTTTCTGAAAGGCAGATCTGTCATTATTCAATGTACTAAATATATATGGTATACAAAATATCATGTAGGAGATCCACTGGAGAAAAATTATGTAGTTCATTTTGAGTATGAGCAGATGAAACTTGCCATGCTCATTGGTGGGCATCACACTTCACTCTGTTCACTGAACTTGCTGTAATTCTAAATTGAGAAACAGAAAAAAAAAAGTATTATAATATTTTCCTAGAATATAATGAAAAATTAGGAGATGAAGGAGTGCTTGCTTGAAAATGCCACCATTATAGAAATGAATATTTCAAAAATTTATGATTAACTGCATAAAGTAATAGGCAAGTATCTTACCAATTTATAAACATGAAAATGAGAATGACACATTTTCATTGGAGCATGTAGATAAGAACATCTTTGCATTTCTGAACATCAGCAGAAATGAAAATGAACCACAAAGCTCTCTTACCTCCACCTTTCTGACAGTGGAAGACTATTTCCTGCTATGTGAGGAAGCTGAAATGTGAATCGGAGCAAACCACTTTCTGTTAGTCTCCAACTCATTCCTTGTATTATTTTTTCTATTCTATTTTGCCTACTCTGTCATGTTAACACTCAGAAGTCCTACTGACCTCAGCACCTTAAAAAGGCACAGGAGGAGTACATAGACTGGTAGTTACTGTGTGGTGCTGCTATTTCAGTTACCCTGCCTTTTCATTCCTGTCCACCATATCTTCAGGTGTTCAACACAATGAACACAAAAAAATCCCTGAAGCACATACTATGAATACTCCAAAGAAGTACTGGCAGTATATATACACTGTTCATAATTACATTTAAAATTTGAGGCTGCATTCAAGCCTTTTAGTCTAAAGTGCTCTAAGCCACTAATGCAGAGGTTTGGTTTGCCTAGCAGCTCTGGTAGAACCAAATAATCAGTTCCTAAAAAGTGGACTTTGCATTTTAACTCCCCCTTTTCATTATGAACACTTGTTCTGGTCTATCTATGTCCCACTTCCATAAAATGGGAATGCTAGTACATAACTACCTTAAAAGAATGTTAAGAAAGTTAATAATGTCAATAAAAAATGCAGACATTTTATAGGACAACAATCATTCTAATTCATCTAATGAGACACAGACAAAATATACAATAGCCAACCCCATTATTTTTGCCCTGCAGTTACCATTTCAACAAATTTTTTGGAGGACAGGATAATGAAACATGTTGAAAAGCACTGAAGGGAACATGTTTTTCTGGTCAATTCACTAGACCAACTGTGCCAACTCACCTTAATCCGGATAAATCAATGGAAAATGGTTATGTCCATAGGCAAGTCTGATTTAATTAGTAAAATACAAAGTGAAGTATAAAAGACAAATAACCAAACCACAGACCATGATGAGTTTAATGTGTCTTGGAGAAGGCTCTGAGCCAAGCTCTAGCCATGTAAGAATCATGAATAAAACCACAGGAAAGCACACTGCTTTTAATGCAGACTCACAGTGCCTTGACAGTGGAAAAGGATCACATAGTTCAAGAGGAAAGTCCAGGTTAACAATCTTTTTAAAAAGGAATGCAAGAATCATTGAACAAGTAAATAGATGTTCAAGCCTCCTTTTTCCATCTAGCTCTCTGTTTCACTTGGTGCAATTCCCCTTTTTCCACCAGTGAACCAACACAGCATGGTACAGTGCAGGGCAGAGACAAGATTTCGATCTCAAACCAAACTAGCTGGGGATCCAGAACCATTTCAGTCAGACCAGTGCTGTGGTGTTCAAGCATCCCAGGCTGAGAAACAGGACTGTAGTTTCAGTAATGCAGAACTGGCTGTGAGTTGTCTCACCAAGAGACTGTGTTAGGTGTTTGTGGATGACATAAATCTTTCCAATGGAGAATGAGCCTGGATTAAAGCACCAAACACAGCACCTTTGGATTTATTATAGAGGATTGAGAAGTTGTTGCAAAAGGAGACATGATGGGAAGAGAGTGTTAGCAGCAGAAAAATAGAAAACTGCATTCCTCAGGCTGAGGACTTGTAGAGTACAGACAGATAAAAGATTTCTACATAAAGGTTCACTGGGTAAATAAGACTTTATCAGACTTTAACAAATCACTGTAAGTTTCCAAAAAGGCCTTCAGGCTTCACCTGCTTTTGAGTCTTACCTTGTGAATCTGAATGGCATCAATTGCTGAAGAAATAGATTCAAAAAATACAGGATTTTCAGAGTCAAGATTTCCACTGTACTGCATTGCTTTTATCAAGGAAGCTGCAACAAAGCAAACACATGAACACTGAGAAGGTAGTGAGGATATATAAATCATCATGTTAAAATTTTTACTGTAAACTGATACTTGCCTTTGCAGTGTGCTAGCAACACATCGATGTATCTGTTTTTACAGTCCATGTAAATCTATGTTTGAAAACAAGAAATTAAAAAAAAAAACCTGTTTTAAATACTGAAAGAATATAAATTACACAAAAAGCCTGTATTCAAGGTAGGCAAAGCCCAGAGTGGTGCTGCAGCAGCTGTACTGCCAGCAGCCACCAGAGCGAGCCCTTCTATAATGCAAACACCATCCACATTTATTTCCTACCACCTCTCCACAGTACTCTACAGCTCTGCTGAGAATTAAAACTGAATTTGATTAATAATTTTGCCAATTCTGACTGTAATTTTTAGGGGAATTATTTCCAGTTCTCTTTTTTTTTTTTTCAGTGTGCTTTCCCATGTCCTTACCAATTGCATACTACCAGTCCACACAGACAGGAATCAGACCTAGGAAACTTTGAGACTTTTATCAAAAAAGCACCATAACTATCATTCTGCATTCAGCAATAAGTTGCTCTTTATTCTTTATTTGAAAGTATTCAACTCCCTAAAGAAAAAATATTAATAAGATACAAAGCAAAAGAATTAAACAAAAGTGAAAATAACTCTAAAACCAGAGTGGGGAAGTTTTCTGCCATATGGGGAATATCCAAGCAGTTACTGCTTCTAAAAATGTTAAAATAACCATGTGAAATAGAAAAATTCTGAGAGAAGAGATTCAGATAGAACCCTGACAGAATATTCTATTTTTAAAATGAAGCAAAAAATCTTACTCAGTTCAAAAATTCTCCATCTCTGACATCAGTGATGATATTTTGGGAAGGAGTGTAACAAGGAAGTGTTGAGTGTGGTCCTCTTGGTCAGAGAAGGAATAACTTAATTTTGGACCAACCATTTATCCAGAGGCTGCACTACCAACCTGTGCACTTCACAGCCCACACCAGACTTACCTTTCACTCATTTATCAAATATTTTGACATAATTTGTAATTTGGAGGTCTCTAAGACCTTTTGGAAATTAGTTTCATAAATTCTTTAACCACTACTACATTGAATGCCCTGTATTTCAAAGCTAATAGACACTCCCACTAACCTTATTTTTACAGTTTTCTTTTTCATTATATCCATGCCTATACATGTAGTTTTAATTTAAAATATTTTAAGGCAACACTTACTTCACTGTGCAATCACCACACTAAATTGAGAAAACTGTTAGGGCAAGAAGAGGCCTGGGTTAAGACCCAAGTTCATATCTTCTATCTTACTCAGAAAAATTATGCAAATGAAACCTTCTATACCCACTTAACTCTGTACTCACTACACTACTTTTAAACTCCAGATCTGATGTAAATGTAAGAAATAGTTTTTGAACATAATTTTTTATACACCATATAGAACCATATGCACCATTACGTAGAACCATAGACACACAGAATTGTTTAGTTTGGAAAGGACCTTTAAGGTTATCAAGTCCAAGCATTAACTTAGAATTGCCAAGTCCACCACTAATCCATGTCTTTCCACTCTGCCCCAGCCTGTGGCACTGCCTGGGGTTGTTGTGACCCAAGTGCAGGACCTGGCACTTTGCCTTGCTTAACCTCACAACTGGCCTTGGCCCATCGATCCAGCCTGTCCACACCCTTCTGCAGAGCCTTCCTGCCCTCCAACACTCCCACCCAGCTTGCTCTCATCTGCAAACTGACTGAGGGTGCACTCGATCCCTCTTGTCCAAATCATCAACAAAAATATTAAACAGGGCAGACCCCAAGGGGACACCAATTATGGCCAGCAGCCATATGGATTTAGTTACATTCACCACAGTAACCAGTGACTGCTGGGTTTAGTCTTCTGGGAGCATCTTGGAATTCCTGCAATGCTGGAACCCAGTCTGCAAGATATGTTGCCCACAGGAGAAATTATGGAGATCATTTTTTTCACCTCATCTGTAGCAGACAGTAGAACATACAGATAAAATCGTGGAATTAAAGCTGAAAATTTTAAAGTGGTAAATTTACACAACCCTACAGCTGACATAGCAGGATGAAATATGACCTAAACCAATTTAAAAAAACAAAAGAAAAAAGGAAAGTTCCAAAACTCCCCTTCATTACATATAGATATGTACATTTGCACTGTTAACCAAAATATTTAGAAATATTTTAATGTAATTAATCTGTGTTCATCTTTTCTATGGGTGAAATATTTATCCACTGTATAGGTGGAGTGACTGGTAGTTGGCCCCAATAACTCACATGTATAATTATAACATATACAGAATGTTTCTAGTGTCTTGAATACCTGAAGAAGCACTGAGACTCCAGTGTAGTCAAAGAAATTCAGTCCACTGCAGTCTAATATCAAAACATGTCGCTCACTGTGACATGACTGCACCAACTCACCTACACATTTGATAAATGAAAAACTTTAATTAAAAGGAGAATACTCAAGAAATGGGTATAAGAATGATGATAGCTAAGCAAAATAAACCCAAAATATCACAATAAAATTTTTATTTTTATGTGCTGGGGTACCAGGCAAGCAAATGCCATATTTTAGAAGAACAAATGAAGAACCTTTAGGGCAATGGAAAGAAGTGATGACAGACAGAACATGGAGAATGGAGATGTTTTAGGCAGAAATAGTGTCTCAAGAATTAAGCAATTGTTTCTTCAAATTTGAATTTCTTATTGAGTCAGCTTGGTTACTTTGGAAGATTTTTCATTGGATACACAGAAAATATATCTATTTTATTTTAAGTTAGACACTGATTTCCTTAGTCCCTAAACACCTGCCTATGGCTTAATTTAATATTCAGCCATAAGGAATAAATATATGTAAAGTGAAGTATTTACTTTTCCTAAGGTTTTACTAAGCTGGTTTTTGCTTGGTTAATTTTTTAATACACAACAACATATTGATGCTGGAGAGGAAAATAGTGTTGGTAAGATTTGAAAAGTTTTTATATTCATTCTTCAGTCTCAGGCCATCTTGTGTTTAGTCTAAACATACTCTGTTCTGAACGCATTCTGAACTAGCGCATAGATAAATGATTCCTGGCTTTCATAAAGGGAAGACTGTAAAATAATGCACATCTTATTTATATTGTTCAGTGAACAAATGTTTGTTATCATAATGCATGCAACTGAAAAAAAAAAAAAGAAAAATATGAAAGAAAGGAATTCTGATTCTAAAGGTGAGTTAAGGTAAATGGCTTTGGCAGAGCATAGGTAAAGATTTTAAACTATTGAGGGGACTTGGAATTTCCCCATGATGGAAATTTGTAATGGTGGTAATTTCTTTCTGACAGTAGTCCAAGAGCCAAAGACTTTTGGACTTGCATCTCCAGACATGTACTGTCTTTGTACTGTCCAACATACATGAATAGATACATACAAACAAAAATGTAGAAAAAGGGAACCTCCTGAAAATTACTGTGATAGAAATCCAGAAAGGATTCATGTCATCTCCCAGATGCAGTGAAATAATTCCCTGCTGCATCCTGAATTGCAGTAGAGGCTATCTGGCCTATAAATGGAGGGATAGGTTAAAAACTGCACCCTCTTTGGATCAGTGGCATGAGCAAGAGCAGCCATTTCATTTGGTGCTGATACAGACAGTATTTCCCAAAGAGAGAAAGGAAAGATTCTGACAAAGACAAATGTCCAAGCTTTCCTCAACAACTGCCATAAGGCTTAATGATTGCGTCCTCATGCCACCCTCCTTTTTGAAAATTTAAGCTCCACATTTTGCTTTTTTCTTTAAGGGATTTTTCTTTTTTCTCTCTATTTGTTGTTAAAGACCCCATGAAGAATCATAATAGACTGGTTGGTACAAGTAGCAAGAGCATTTAAGTCCTCAAGGCAGGACTTAGGCTTTCAGAAAAGAGGTCTTGTGCTTTCTGTCACTTTTGTAATATGAGAAACCAGTTCATCTTCAAGATGACTGAAATATGTACTAGTAAGATCTTCTCAAACATAGTATTTTACAATATAGTTAATAAAATACAATTTAATCTTCAGTAACCATTTTCATGTGCTGCTATGTTACAGCGAAGCACTCTGTCATCCCCAAGTTAACTAAACACTGTAGTACCATAAAAATGTCCTGAGTCTAGTTAACAAATGCAAACATTCAGACAACAGCCTCCAAATCAGATTTTCTACTGCAGTCTTAATGCTTATAAGTGTTTCAAATAAACACTGTTTTAATTCTATCCACAATGAAGTCATCTGTATAAAGTATCCACTGTAAAAGGTTGCTACAGCTCTCCCATGGGAATGCATGTGCTCTGGTTTGATTTAAGAGTTACAAAATGTGGAAAGAGTGGAGTTTCCAGCTTAATCCTTAATTGAAAGGAAAACTCTAGGGTATCTTATATATTGTATTGAAATACTGTATAATATTGTTGGTTATCACATCACTAACAATTCAGTTGACATTTTCTGAGATTTTCTCCTACGTGGCTTTAAAGATCGCAAAGATTTAACATGGTTCTAATCTTACTTTTATTTTCATACTAATATTCAACTCTGCATGCAAAAAATCCCAAGACCAGAGCTTAGGAAAACAGTCTCTTCAGCCTGGTCTGAAGATCAGTCCAGGCAGCAATACAGGAAGGGTTCCCTCATTATGTACCTGTCTCTTTACACACACACTCATTACAGTGCAGTAAGCAGGGACACAGAATCAGAGAATGATTTGGGTTGGAAGGGACCTTAAATCATCTAGTTCCAACCCCAGTGTGATGGGCAATGAGACTTCCACTAGTACCTCCCACTCCTGTAGAAAAAGAATTTTCAAGGTGTTCCTTGCTTTTGAAATCTTAAAAAGTCAGTTAAAAACAGTATGAAAAAAAAGGACTAATTAGGCCAAGGTTAGCATAGTTTAACACTGTTTAGCATTCATGCTTCATTGACTGTTGGGTCTAACTGAAAATATTTATTTCCACAAAACTTACTTACACCTAGAAATATATATAAAAATGTGGAGCTATTTTGCACACTTACATCCATTTTGGTTTTAAGACCATTTGTAGATAATAAACTCACCATGGCAACTTCCATTGGAAAATGAACAGAGCAAAGTGTTCTGCTCACACTGAAATAAAAGCAAAAAATTATTAACATATCAAGGAAAACCAGTCCATTGCACAGTAATGAGAGGAAATCAATGCAATACATGAGAATTCTGTTTCTCAGGATCAAAGTTAGCTCATTCACTCCAAAAATCATGTCCTATGCAATAGTCTATTTGATATATTATAATTTCTGGTATAACTTTAGAAGAATACTGAGATACATACTCAAACTCATATTTTGCATTTCTCTTTAGCTGACTCAACCTCTGTCAAGTTTGGATTCACTAGAAAGCATATTTTGGACACAGTTCTTTTGGGGAAGAGGGGGTGGTTAAGAAGTGGTCAAAAGATGGAAAAGATGTTATTGACAAAAAAAAATTATTGGCAGTGATTTTATATGATTAAATTTTGATTAATTTTCTACTTGCTGCAATCTCATCTGCTACGCTAATATTTTAGTAAGAACATCTTGGATGTGTAAATTTATTAAAGAATTACAATTATCTGGATCATTTTTATAATAATTATTTCAATATGCAAGTTCTCTGTAGAAACATGACAAACCAGAAACAACACAGAAACAAAACTGGAACTGCATTTTTTTCACATCCATTATGTGCTACAGAAAGACATTTATTCAACAAAAAGAAATTTAAAAACAAAAAGCACAGTATTTCAGGCAGCTGTTTTGCTGAGTACCTTACAGAAGAGACAAAGGATAAAATCTCTTTTATAAGTAATGTATAATTCCACCCATCTAAGCACATATGGGTAGCACAACTCTTTGTCAAGGGCCAGCAGAGGTGGTGGACGTGTCTGTTTTAACAAGCCATGTAAGACACAGCTGGGATTTTCTCAGTCCAGTTTTCCAAACTGGATGAAATTTTCTACAGTAAGCATTGTATCATATTGGAATGTCTTCATGGTACTGGTAGAAAAATGATAATTTATCTTTTCCCTTTTAGGAAGTGTTGCAGAAAGTTGCAGTAGTTATGTGCTGATGAATTTGGAAAATACTATACTTGCAGGGATATTCTCCAAAAACATGATATATGTAATTTGTATACTGTTTATTTTTCTAATACAATCAGTGCAAAAGAGGAAAAAGAAACAATACCATTGAGAAAAAAAGTAGCCACTTTCTTCCTAATTCTCCCAAAATTATTTATAGTTAGAAATGAAGTTTCCATCTCTCATGGACTTATATCCAGAAAAAAAAATAAAAAAAAAATCACATTTTAGTCAAGCATATTTGTAATTACTTGTTGTTTCTAAGATCCCAGCCTTATATCAGCTGAGGTTATGTAAGTTCTTCAGAAATTTTGGAGATTTGGATAAGTGCTTTAATGTCTCTTACCACATCACATGCAGAAGTAGAAATCATATGGACTGTTTTCATATTATTACTTGAAAACAGTAAGTATTTTCAATTTATATTATATTTGCTACTATGTTCAAGTAATACTACTGTTCTCAAGTAATAATATGATACTATTTTCAAGTAATAATATGAAAACAGCCCCTATTGAATCTGATTAAGATTAGGATTACCTTTATTCTATATTAATCATTTCTAATGTTTTTTATATCTGTTACAGTATCTGATTGCATTCTGTAAGAAAAGCAAGGAAAGCAAACATGATCTTCAACCCAGTCACGGTGATTACTGAAGTGTAAAGCACATCCCACCTTGTTTACAATATCACATACCTGGCTGCTCATGCCATCCTTCTGGATTATTTTTAACAAGTCAGCATGAAATTTTCTGGCATTCAAAAAGACCAACGGGCTGTTGACTGAAACTATTTTTACCTGTTTTAGGGATTCCTGGGGAATGAAATAAACATAATGCTGAAAAGTTCATCTTGGATTTGGAAAAGAAACCCCAGACTCGTTTCTATTAAAAAACTGAAAATACCCATAAATTAACCTAGGAGGAGCTTTGGGTTGTAAGAATTATTTAACAGATAATTCTATTGATCAGCCTTCACACATCTGAAGTAAGAATGGAAACACAATTAATATATAATGAACATTATCTATAATATTATTTAACATGAAAAAAAGCATGCACATTATGAGGCATAATATTAAGAGCTATTAGCTAACAATTATATTAGTACTATTTTAGTTGGCATGATCCCCAAGGATAAGCAGGGTAACATTTGCAGACAGGGAATATATTTTATTAGACAAACATCTTGAGAAAAGTACACAAGGATTTAGGGCAAACACTGCAGTTGGTTTGAGGAAAGCTGGCAATATTCATCATTCATCTGAAGATGACTTCAGTACAGAGATAGTTCTCCATGAAAATACTTACTGGATCCTGATGACCCTTGAGTGGCACATTTAAAGCTTTACCAGCACAGTTCTACAACCAACACAATAATCTCCTTTGCCCTTGAGCCTGTCTCTGAAATTCACTGAGTAAGCTACAACCAGCTTACCAGTACCTTCAGTCAGACTGTGTAGCACAAAACAGAAATGATACACAGCAGAACAATTTTGGAAGGACACCAGATAATGTTCAGAAACCCCCAGGTACAAGTCAGAGGCATTTTGCACAAAACAAGTTCTATTTCTCTCACTCTCAAGGTGTACTTAAAAATACCTTCAAAAGCCAGTGAGAAAATTAATATTTATATATAAATAAATACATTGGACAGCAACAAGATAAGCTTAAAGACTGGTTTTGTAGAACACAGAACTGAGTTAATTCTACTGAACTCGTAGTTTTCCACAAGTTGTGTGACAATGAAAGTAAAAATCAAGAATTTGCATGAGAATATAGGTCAAAAAAGACTCTTCTTCCTAACAAAAGTCAGTGGAACAAGGTTAGAGTCAAACACAAGTAACTGGAGTTGAAACAGACCATTTTTTAAATAGTTAAAAATTGTTTGGGATTGCATTGAAGAAATGCTGTTTTCCCAACAGACTTTCAAGCAAAACAGGAATGGAAATCTTCACCACAAATCACATAAAGTATCTCCTTATTGTAGACTGCTGTTCAGACTTCTGGGAATAAGATGATCTCTCAGACACCACCACAGTGACCATGAAATAAAGAAAACATTTCAAACATCCCAAACTGAGGCAAAGAAGCCCAGACCATGTGTAGGGACTTTACGCAATTTACCTATGAATGTGATTGCAGTAAATACCACATCACCTACATGCCACAGTCAGACAAGTGGCAAAGCTCAACTGGCAGTTAAAATGTCTCAGGTTGTATGGAACAGAGCTCTAAAATAAGGGCAAAACAGAGGATGGTATATGCTTGCACAGAGAAATGCTCTGACATCCCACAGATTCCCACAAAAATGATGCTATACACGGCTTGGTGTGGAGACAAATGGACATTTCAGTGCCATGACAAAGTAGAAGATAAAAGCTAAGAAAATAAGGAAGACTGATGTGCAAAGATCAAATCCTCTGATTATAAAGCTTCCATAAGTACAATATACAAAACTTTAAAGGCTCAAACCATAAGGCCAGATCAAACAGATGGCAGACTTAGGTATAATTTTTGTCCAGAATGGACAAGGTCAACTGTGCCTAAATTTGACCAGCCAGTTATTCCTGGCTCTGGTTTGATTCTTTGTTAACAGAGAAAAATCAGAGAAAAGTGAACTTCCTCTTTGTTGTGTCCTTGCTACAAAAGCAGGAAATTTATCTCACGTGCCTGCCCCTGCCACCACTTAGAAGGCCCCGGGTGATTGCCCTGCACGCTCTGCACAGCGACAGCGCTGCTCGGGTACGGGTTCAGTGCCAGTGAGCGCCTGGGATGAAATGTGTTTCACATAAGCTTCTAAGTACCCTTTGATTTTTTTTCCACATTAAAGTGTCTTTTCTCTTATTGATTAAATAACCCCTATAAATCCACAGACCTTAATGGCAGGGAAGATCATTAAGCTTGCATATTTTCATGTTTAAAAGTCCTGTTGTTTATGTCTAATCAGTTATTTACCAGGGAAACTTGGATCAGTCTAACATTCATACATTAAAAATTACCCTAAATGCCTGCTGCAACGCAGTGACTCTAAATTAAATTAAAGGCATATTTTCCTTCTTTTGTTTTGTGTAATAAGCTCCTGAGCAATTTGCTTCTCTAACATAATGTTATTTTCCCCACTGTCTGTAGACACTACTTTTGTTATTACTAGGTTACTGGTGTTAATCTTACTGAATTTGGGGGTGGAAGCAGGGGAGCAGTAAGCTTAAAAAATAAAATGTATAGGCATTTGTACAAAATGCTTCATGAACTGATATGAAAAATAGCAGACAAATAAAATTTTGGTTACCCATCCCTAACAAAGTTACTCCAATATTTTTATTAAGAAGAAAAAGTGATATAATAATTGACAGCTGGTCCAGCCTCAACAACAGTGTTTTAATTCACATTTCAGAGTCCTCCTCATTCTTGTGTACCTTTCACATTCCAACATTGCTCAGCATGCCAAAAGAGTAAATGCCCTTGAGCCCTTGGATGTTCTGATTTTTAACCCAAGATAGCTCTGATAGAAGACATTTGCCAGAAATAATAAATTCTTTAAAGAAGATCTGCTTAATGGAGAAACAATAACTGCTGAGCATGTGATTTACTGATACATAAGACCCTTCATCAGCACTAGGAAAGGAAAAAGGACATAGGAGAAACTGCCACAGTGGAGAAGGTAGGATGTCCTGTTGATGGGGCTCTGTGCTGAAAGGACACATGGTTCTACTTCTCTCTTGGCTGCTGACTCCCATTTCATCTTGGAGGAGGGAGTTCACCTCTCTGGGTCATTACCCTTCTCTTCTTACCATAGACCTGAGCAAAAAGCAATTTTGACGAAAATTGCAATGAAAATAACCAAAAGAATCTGATTGGTTGGTTTAAGTTTGTAAGAAGCCAAATTTTAAAGGCACAGTCTTTGGGAGAGTTTCTTCCATCCATTTTTCATGTGCACAGGGTGATGAGATTTGTGAAGCAGTCTGTGAATATTTCGTGGTATTGCCACACTTTGCCCAGCTTCATGGTGTCCTCTGGACAGTCTGGTCGTGAGGGGTTGGTGACAGAAATGATTTCAGAAGAGATTGGGGATGATGAAAATAGCAAAGGACTTTTAGGAAAAGTGATAATAATACAGAGACTGTCTGCTCAGATGGCCCTTGCCATTCCTGGCAAGACATTTCCTTAAATTTAGGAATTAGGAAACTTTGAGAAAGAGCAATTCATAACTAAAAATGACAAATAAACTAAGATAGACTTAAGAGGACTCGCTTAACTTCACTTTGCAGACGAGCAGAAGAACCATGAAAATATTCCAGTTTCTGATGGACAACTAATTTTATTATTATATTATCCTGGCTTTAGATTTCAAGTTGTCATATCATAAAAGCATTCCCTTGTCTCCTTGATTACAATCTGGTAACTAACTAGAGAAGACAAACAAACCTGAATTAATGAAACACACACACAAACAAAAAGTTAAAAAAGAAATTGACTTACACAATTGTCTTCTGCTTTGTATTTATGGTCCACCTCTTTCATATTTTTCAAATTCAGGGTCTTTGCTCTGAAATCAATATTACAATCAATATCAGACAAAAATCTGTACAGTAAATCATTAGTAGTCTTGAGCAGAAACAAAAAGACACACATCTCAAACTACAGCATAGCAGTTTAAAGGTCTGACAATGCAATCTGTGAGTATTTTTGTGATTACAGACCTTATATTTTCTGATAATCATCCTCTTAAAGAGTAAAAAGTTCATTTTAGAATTATGAGTTCACTTTGAAAATATGAATAATTAAATTCTCTAGTGAAGAAAATCTTAATTTTCATTTGCTGGCCAGAGCGCTACTTTCAAGTCAAGATAGCTCACATATATAATAATATATGCATTAATAAAAATAATAATATATAATAGGAATAATATATATAATACATATATATGTTAAAAATATTAATAATAATTTATAATATAAAGCTCAATCTATAGCTTCAAAAGTAAAGAAGTTTAATATTTTTTATATGCAAAATCATAAGGAAAGGGAAAATAAATATGAAGAATAGCTGTGGGTCATGAAAAACAAAGATATTTTATTTGTCATTGAAATTGACACATCTTTAAATGATGAAACAGAACACTGCACTCTAGCTATCAAAATGGGGGCTTACTAGAAAGGGCCAGTATTCCTATGCTCTCTACACAGTGAAAAGAGAAAGTCGCTTTGGAAAGGGAGCTCAGCATGTGATATTCTGAATTTACAGGAACACATTTAACTGCAGAAGACTATGGAACTATCTATCCTCTGAGACAGATGCAGCAATATACAAGGAATATTTGCAGGTATTGGGGCCAGATAAATGAGCCTTGCAAACATCAGCTGTTCTCTCATCTTTGCATAAATGAAGCTATAACTGCTGCTGGTTTTAATACATTTTGATACATAACACGTACCACATCCAGTACTCTGACATCTGAACAGAAACTCTACAATAAATAATCATATTTTCCTTGCTTCACTTCTGCTAACACTTTTGCTCATGACTGCATGGCTTACTACACGTTATCTTGTTAACTCCATCTGTGCCATACCAGTTTTAAGGCTCCTACCTTGTTCAATACCTTTAGTTGGTATGGACTATATGTGCAGCTTCACTGAAGAGCACAGAGATCACTGGGAAGAGTCTTATTTACTTATTTATTAATAAGTGCAGGTTCAGACAGAGGTCTTCACTAATCAGGCTCTTTTGTGTTAGATATCCATCCCTTTCTGCTGTTGGAGAACATCTAACGTCCAGGCTCAGGACAAAAACAGCATGAAAACTTGCCTTTTACTTTATTAGAAGCTATCTCCCATAATTTTTAACTGACTTGAAATTTTGAACTATTTTCATGCTGGTTCTGCAATTTATTCAATGAGAACAGAGCTGTGCACAAATGTCTAACACCATTAACTTTAACAAGCATTTAATCGAGCTGTCTACATTGTGCTTAATTTCAGTGGGATTCAATGTTCATGCAAACAACTGCATGCAAGCAGCAAGTCATGTGCAGGACTGGTGAGCTGTGAATTAATTCTGTAGCACAAATCAATCATGAACCTCAGCTATATTTCCCTTTACTCATGATCCAAAGTAGCAACTGTAATATATTAAAAAAAAAACAAACACCCAACTTCCAATTGCTCTAGTTTCTTTTTCCTGACTTTTCTAAGTCAGGAAAAGTCATACACAGAACTTACACTTTTTGTTAGACATTAGAATAGTTATACAGTTATGTTTGATTAATCTATATTAGCAGTGCAATTGTCAACTACCAACTCCTGTGCAACATAGTACCTAGGACTTTTTATAAAAGCTCTTAGTTACTGAAGCCTGACAGACATACCTTTTCCTTAAAGAGCAAATAAAAATCTAATGGAAAAAAATATAATTCATCTTCCTGCTGATTTTATGCTGCCTTCACATAACAAATCCTACAGATATGTAATAATCAGAGAAATCAGAAAATAATGCCATTTTATAAAACGTTTTAGAGATTCCTTAGTCTACAGAAAATGGACAGATGTGACTTTTCCTTTTGAATTATCTTATCTTGCAATTTTCTACAACTAAAAACTGAACTTTAGTTGTTAAATTTAGTATACCTTATGTCTATCCTGACTGTGAAGCAATATGCAGAATGAATATATAATGAAGTGCTAGCAGAACACTTAAATAAATTGTTCCTTACCTGGGAAAGCGGAAAATCACGATTACTACAGTGCAGACAACACCATACAACAGTCCCACATTGGCAGCAAAGCATATTGTAAACACGTAGGTACTAACCCATATGCTCTTTAAGGAGAGCAAAAAGAAGTTATTAGTTTCAAATTTTATAGCAATGTGCACTTTATGAATCAGAAATAAAGATTTTTAAAACTAAGATAATTTCTCAGATGTGAACATTTGGATCCTTGAGCTGGCAAATGCTGAAGACTGAATTGGCAATTTAAGTAATGCCTCCCTGTGGGAGACCACATGCAGCATGGCACAACTCATCACAGTGCTCACAGAGGTTCCTTCCAGGGTTACTTAAAATAGTGTTTGTACTTGTGCTAACAGCTTAAGTCAGAATAAGCTCAGTTATTTTGGAAAACCTCTGTTTTATTTTTCACATTGCAAATTCTTGTCACCTTCTTCACTGCAATAGATTTTAAATGCTCTCCTTTCACATAATGAGGTGCCCTAATGAGGTCACATACAGAGAGCTTTTCTCCCACTAATCATATAAGTGGGAATTATAATTTGCGAGGAAGCTGATTAAAAGTGGCATTTATCAGAGTACAGCTGAATGAAATGGCTCTATAACAAATAAAAATTACTGGGGAATTAATTCCTTTTAATGGAAATGGTGAGATTTCATATTACTTCCCCATCTTTCAACAAATGATTACTAAAACTTTGGATTAATTTTAAATACAATATTAAAAAATACTCAGACGCATATATGAAACTAAAGTCAATTTAAAAATAAATTTAAAAGAACATTAAGAAACTTTTACATTTCAATTTTTAATTAATTATTTTCTTACCAGAAATCATCACTTTTCTTTCCATACTACAATGACATGTACAACTAAGAGACATGCAGATTTTACAATTAAAAGAAAAGTACAAATTACTCAATTTCTTATACCAACCTAATTGGTATAATAAAACACATCTTTCTTTCCTTGAGGGAGCCTTAAGCAAAGACTGCCATCTAATCTTTGTACAAAAGGTGTTAAAAAAGAATGGAAAGTATTTTCACTCCTCTGGATATACTGATCCCCACAGGTGCCCATTTCAAGAATTACAGTGCTGCTTGTTCATGTTTGCAGAATAACAGATCACATTACAATGGCACAATCAGTGTTAAGATTATCCTTTCTGATGCTTTCACTTAACTCATAAAAGCCAGAGACAACAGAATACTTTCAGACCAACCACAGGAATTTTGCTTGAGCAGATTTGAGAACTGTTATTTTATGAATAATAAAATGTAAGTCATACCATACTAACTTGTGCTTCACAGAGGACAGAGTGTTACATGATTCTGTTGAGAAATATTTTCCTCCCTCATCTTCAAGATTCCTAACTACTGAAAAAAACTTTCCAGCTTCTTCAACAGGAGGGCTGCTAGGTAAGGAGGTAGTACATCTTCTGAAGCAGTCCTCAATCACTAGCTGTATTTTAACAGACATCTTATACAAATTGTTGTGCATGTATTTACAAAGACCACCTTTATGAGCAACAGATACTGAGTTCTGAATAAAAAATAAGAAAGCAATGCTAAGATTTATAAATCCAATATACATTTATAAAGCAGCTCACCTGGATGTGAAAAGGCTAACACAAATACTAAAAATCTGAAAATCAGTGAGATCAAGTAATGGACTACCTTAATAAGGTTGAACCCTCGGCAACACCTGAATCCACTCCAGTGCAATCCAGTTCAGCTGCAGACCTGAACCTCATCACATCTAACTAAATCACTGCAAAATTCTTATGTCTCAGAAGAAAACATAAAGCATAAAAATGCAATACAAAGTCTACATAGGAAGAATCAAAGCCAGAAATGTTTAAGTACTGCTGACTACTGAGAAAGTTAGTTAAGTGCCTTTGCAGCAGCCTAGTATCTTACATCTTAACTGTAATGAGAGACTGCCATTGCTGTAGAGGCTGTGCCAAAACAATCATACTCTCACTAGTCAATCACCCTTTCAGTGCTTTGTATTGGCCTGGAATCAGCACTTCTTTAATTAGGGTAGCACTAAACTTGTAGAAAGAAGTTATGTTGGTCTGATACACCTTTTTTTTTTTTTTCCCAAATTCATGGGTTATTGCAAAGTTCAACAAAGAAGTCATAAAAATATCAAAGTTTCCTTTGGCAGCTTATGGCAATATGGTTATTGCATACTTCAGGATAGATAGAATCTAATCACTCTTCAAATCTTAGTCTTATAGGCACACGTTAATATCAAAAATCAAAACAAAATCCACCTTCAAAGTACTGTACTAACTTAAAGAAAAACTCTAAAGAGGGAGAAAGGAAAGAAGCAGAAGAAATGGATTTATGTCAGCTCCTGTATATATCAGAAGGTATCAGAAGCACTGAGAGGTACAGTGACTGTGTGTAGCAGTTGCCTCCATCTAGACTTTCCATTTCATAGGGTCTACTCATCCACTATTGATGATGGTCTAAAATTGGCATTTGGTAGGAAAAAAAATCATATAAATAAATGCAAAATACTTTCTGAACCTAAGGGTAAACCATGCAGTGCTAAAGTATGGTGATAATAAATGTTTCTGTACCAGTTTGAAACCAGATTATGCACTTCACTGTTTCATTGCTAACTAAGGAGATGATCAGCTATTGCCTGAATGGGTAGGGTTTCTCACACCTAACTCTCTCCAACACAGCTGTCTAGATTCCTACCATAATCAATTGATTTGGTTATCAGAATGTAGAAAATTTAGGATGCAGTTCATCTAACTCCTACTTGATTATGCTGTTGCTTAATGGAGGAAGAGATGGACATGACTTAACTGACCAGTTCTGTGCTATTTGTAATGTGAGGCTGTGATGAGTTGCTCAGATAGAGTCCCTCCAGCATATAGCCAAAAGAAGAATCCCATTCAAGTCCTGCTCACTTGGGAACTGTCTCAGGAGAAGATGCTGGAGTCCTGGAGGATGCTCTGGCTCTAAGGACCAAGTGACATGGCCACGCTTCCACATCCTTCTGCAGACAAATTACTAGTGTCTGCATTCATCCTCAGCACACCCTTCATCAAAATTGGGATTCAAGTGAAGCCCACCACAGCCATAGAACAGGAACTGCCTAATGCACTAAGGGACATGGTTTAGGTGTAGACAGTGTTGGGTTGACAGATGGACTAGATGGTCTTTAAAGATCTTTTCCAACCGAAATGATCCTATGATAATAAAGTGGTATTTCAAAGTGGTTCTTTGAAATAATTTTTCACAGGCATTCCAAACACAGTTGTAGTTGACATATTATTGACAATATTTACTGTATTGAGACAGTTTTTGTTCTCAAACAGCCCTGGAAACAGGCACTGATAGAAATAATACTCTTTAAAAATAATTTATATGGTAATCATGCTTTCAATAGATTAAGCATTCACAAATTCCTTCCCACCCCACTGAGACCAACTACAGCACAAGTAACATAATTCACACTAGCATATTCACTAATGCAGGAAAAATAGACAATCTCCCTAGGATGTCATAAGATAGAGTCATTGATGTAAAATTATTTTCACAGAAGAGATGGTTTCCTACTTTGTGGAAAATTGTTTGTATAGTAAAGCTCTGGGAGCTCTCAGAGCCCTCTCATGAATCAGAACCCATGCGTGATTTAAAATTTAAAAGGCCATCTTCCTTCTGAGGATAATATCTGAAGAAGTTCTAAAAAACCCCGAGAAAATGCACTAATGAGCTCCAGATTTCAAGGAAGACCCTTTCTAGTCACTCTCCTCTAAATATTTTGACAAAATAGATTGACAGGGTGTTGGATGCGTGTCTCAGAAATTGAATGACAAGATCTTGGAGGATACTTGTCAAAAATGAGACACTCATTCTTGGATCTACTTTAATTGCTGAATTAGTAGCATTCCTTACTCCTTTGATATTAATGTATGTGCACACAATTACAATTAATGAATCTGTAACTGCCTCTCATCACAACACCATGTTGGGAGTGTGTAATTTTTACCATAGATTCTTGCCATTCTTTCTGCTTTAAAAGTCAGGCATGCAACCTGGCTTTGTCTCAGCTGTGGTTATTTTCTGGTCAAGACATCAATGCAACTTTAAAACATTTTTTTTCTCTTTAAATGCCGGAGTATTTAATTGCTGAACTTCTCAGATCCATCCTATATAATTAACTCATTAAAATGATCCTTATTTTGTTACAATTTTTCACTTAGAATCTCACCTTCTGAAATATTTTTTCCCCATCTTTGGTTACTTTAAAGTCCAACTGTTAACGGCAAAGAGAACATTTTTCTTCAGTAGTCCATTGACAGGCAGTAGTTTTTACCTGTTTTACAAGGCAGATTATCTGATACTGAACCTTAAAATCAAGAGTTAACAAGCATTTCACTGGCCTTTTTAGTAATACTAGGCAAGTATCACTAGTATCACCAGCACTGCCAAGCTGGAGAATAGAAAGTTAGTCAAGTTGGCCTGCATAAGAAGTTAGGCTTACAGAAAGGACAAGGAAATCATCTTTTGACCTGAGGACCTGAGAAGTGAGCTATGTTTACAGACAAGGCCAGATTAGCTTCCTGGCTGTTCTCAGAAAAAGCAGAAAAAAGATCAAGACAAATCACTCTGAGTTATGTATATAACATATGTAGTAAAATAGTGTAATTATTAATCTGAGATTGTTGAAGTCATCAATCAAGATGTAGGGATTGATAGGAGACCTTAACTGAAGCAGGAGACATTTGAAGGTTATATGGATGCTATGAATGGCAAGAAAATGACCTATGGAATAAGGACAGTGGGGTAGTAGCTGAAAAGTAGTTGAATGTGATTTGAGAGGTGGGATGTAAATTTGAAAGAAAAAGCCATTCTTTCATGACTGAAAGAAGAGATTTCATAGAAACACAGAATATCCTGTGATGGAAGGAACCAATGAATTTCCACAACTCCAACTCCTGAACAATGTCTTACTTTCTACATTTGAAAGGATTAGGTTTATAGAGAACAATCCAACAAATAGATACTTTTCATCCCATTTATATTTAATGAGATGCTTAAAGAAGTATTAAGGACCAATTAAGGAGGTAACAAACTCCGTAATATTCCATTTCCATGCACTATCATTTGCCAGACCTATAACAAAAACAAACCTGACTTCAATGCTACATGACACACACCCTTCAAAGAATCAGTTCCAGAAAGGACAACTACTAATTATTTCCAAATGTTTTCTTAGGGTTTCTATCTTCAAAACACTTTGGATAACCTGGGTGACAGAATGATTCATTTCCAGTGTTCTGTAAGTTACTGGGGTGAATCCTTTCAGGCCAAAATAACACCAGTGTAGTTACACAAATCACTGGGTTTGGTGGGGCTTCTCAGAGCAGGCAGCAATGCAAGATCAATGTTTATAGCCTTACTTTAAACTATGCTATTTAAGGCAAGATGATATATCCTGTCAGGCTAAGAACTGATGGTAAAACTACTTGAAGATAAATCATTGCTCAAGTATGTTTAGTTAAAAAGATTAACCCAGCAAACTCCCCTGTTCTATTACCTCTCTTAGAAATGATGACAGTTGTCATAGATGTAATAACTAACTGCTCACATAACCTTTTCTGCCAAAACCAGAAAAGCAAAACTCAGTCAGGTTAGTCTATCTGTGAAGATGCGTTAAATCTAGTGAGATTCCAAAATATCTTGCTGGAAAATGTAACTACTTATCTCAATGAACTGTTGGAGAAGATATATCTCTTTCCCATAACTACCAATGCTTTTAAGCCCATTGTTCCCAAAAGAATTATTGATCTACATCATCCATCTTTTCTGTCACTGGCAAATGGGTTAAGCTGAAGATCAAATACAAAACAAGAGATAGAAAATATTTTCGGAATTTTACTGCTTGAGGAAGAAAATATTTCAGGAAAGACAGCTTTTCTTCTGGATGATACAAAAGAAACCCTCAAAAACAAGTTTTCTGAACCTCTAGTTTCCTGCAACCAAGTGTGAAAAATCTCACAGTCAAACATGATGTTTATTTAGCTCTGTTTCCCATACTAAAATCCAGTACTCAATTAAAAAAGTTTAATTCTGTCTAGACTTAACCATTACTGATGTAGAATACTGAGTCACTGGTAGATTCAAAAAAGTCTGATATTAACTCCAATTACCTGTATTTCCCACCACAGAAAAGGACTATGTGGCCAAAATACCTTTCTGAATATTGTTAACTCAAACATACAGGATGTCAGCATATATGTCTTTATGTAACTACATAGAAATTTTGGTTCCACTAATTGGCTGTTACACCCAAAATCTCCAACAGAAGAGAAATCCCGGAGTCTTCTTACACGTGGATTCATCTTTACTATTTGCTAGGAATCCTGTGCAAATTCTGTCAGATTATTTAGACTTTGCATTAAACTAGATTTTCATACTGTCTCTTTTCACTTATCTACTTTTTCTGATGCATTCCTCCTCTCATAGTGCAGAATCTTTCACTATGTTCAAACTATAGATACTCTGCAAAATCTGAGTTAAGGCAATTTACCTACAGCACCCCTCAATACATCTTTCTGCATCACTAGTGTTTTCAGTTATCTTTGACCTATGTGGTCAATCCCTATTCCCAGAGGACAATGATACCAACTCTTCAATAATGCTACAGTAGCAAAAGCTCATTAAACAGATAGAAAAGACATAAAAATTAGACACATATTTGTTCACATTAACTTGATTTGTCTGTGTACACATCTCTAGCATTAGGTTTGATTATTTATGATTCGTTAAAATGTTATTCTTTAATACAACTGATATTAAAGATGCTGTTTATCTGAGCTGATAGTACACAAAAAATACTACTACTAATATCTTGCACTTATGTCTTCTAGGGCCACAGAAATATTGAAGTTTAGTTAACAGATGTTTGCCAAATGGTCTCAGGAAAACATCCTTATAGTAAATTTTACTTACCCAGTCTATTTTATCCACATTCCAATATTTTTTTAAGTCACGGAACTGCATTAGCATCCCCTTCAAGCCCACAACAATAATGCTTGCTAACACACACTGCAAAGACATAAACACAAAAGCCATTTGCAGAGTTGTTAGTGAAAAACAATGTTGTTTCTTTAATTTAGCAGCCAATATCATAATTAAATTATTTTAAAGACTAGTAGATGTTTAGAAAATGGGATGAGCACAGTTGCTTTTGTGACAAATGCTAACAGCAACAACCCCTCATCCTGGTTTTTTTTTTGAAGGCAATCTAATTGTGAAGGCTACCTGATTGTGAGAAAAATGACAGAAACCTCAGGACTACCCAATACATTCTGCCACAATCTGGAGAACTCAAAAGCAAATCATCATTCAACTTCGATGCAGTGAAGAATTGTAGCTCCCTTCCTCACTTCCTTCCCTTCCCCTAGAGAAGGCCTTTAGGGCAAAAGTCCATTAATTTTAAAGCAAAAAAAAATAATAATAAATTTGTTCTTTGACTCAGGAAGGAGGAGGAGGAGATGGATGAAGAAATCATCTAGAGCCAAAAAGAATGGAGTACAAACCGATGAACTTAAAGCCCATAGACAGGCTGAAAAAACATCAGAAGATAAATAATCAAGAAAGAAAAAAACAAAAAAGTATTTTTAAAATATGCGATTAAAGACCTGCAGGAAACTGGTGAAAATTTACATATAATCCATATAAAAACAAATTAAAGGAAGGAAGAAGTATAGCAAAAAAAAAACAAGACATATTGTGCACCCTTCTTCAAGTGTCCTTACTTTGCGTGGTTAAAATAAGCTATAAAAGGATCTGTGTTTGAAAAGTGAGAACTTTCATGACACCATGTAAACAATAGCACAAAGCAATTTTAAAACATAGTTGTGTTAAAACTTCATGTACATACATGGCAAAATTGTGGATAATTTTGGAGCTGTATTTAGCAGCTTTGACATGCCTCTAGTTAAAATTAACTATTAATTTGTAATACCAAAAGCTAGATATAGCTTATGTGAAAAGATGCTACACTGCTTTAAAGAGTCTTAGCATAGATGTATTCCATGACAGAGATATAAGAATACTTCCTAATCTTTCTGTAATTAAGCTTATATCAATATCTAAAATAATTTGTGTCAAATTTATTTGAAAAGCAAAGTTGTATATCATATGCATATCTGGGGAAATATAATGAATCTTCATTAATTTCTACCACATTTTGTCAATTTACAAATCCAGAGCAACCTGGATGTATATTTTTCATAAACTACATGCCAAAAGTAAGTAGAAGAGACGTTCACTTCTGTGTGCTTACATGATAGCCTATATATGTAACTATATATGTCTAAAACCTATGTCTTATGCTGTTACCTCTGTATTTTATGATTTTCAGATTTGTCATGCCCTTACTATTCTTATGGCAACTGAAATCAAAGAGCTCTTTTAAAGGTTGCTCTCTCTTTCCCTGAAAGAAACTGTCATTAGAAAATGTTTGACATCTTAATCTTTAAAAAGAATAAGTACCATACCATAGGAAGCCAGTACAGCAGAGGTCCAATTGTGTAGATCACCACAAGAATTAATACACAAGAGATAAGGCAAGCCACCTAAAACAATAAACAAGAATTGCAGATCTTTCAGTCTAACAACAATAAAAACAACAAAAGAAATTGTGACAAGGATAAATTATAAAATATTATAGACAAAGTCAAGAATCAGATGTTGAAGGAGTTAGCTGTTGATGTATATGTGGAATGCAGATGCATATAATTTCAATTTTAATATCTGATTATTACCCTTAATCAACTACAGTGATAACATAGTGAGAGATCTCCACATCTGTGCTTGACCCTGCTGCTAGCATACTGACACAGGTCAGAGCATCACTTACACACTTGGATATTAAATGGAATGTGTGTGTGCAATATCTCATCCCAGAAGTTTTTCAGCACCCACTGTCATTCTGCCAGTAATTTATAACCATGCACCCTATTTTGTACTAAATAACAGATCTGTCATAGCACTAAGCAAGTTATGTATGCATTTTTTCCACAAGAGAAGACTTCTAACTTCTTTTGTTGGGATTAACACTAAAAGAAAACAATTGTTACATGAGAAACCACTAACAATTTCATGTTAATACCAGTGTATTTGCTTAAGAAAATGTAGGTACCATTTAAAAATATATACTGAAGATTTTAATTAATTTAATTTTAATTAATGCAAGAAATATAAATTCAGAAAAATATATGGTCTAATAATTATATATTTCTTCACAGTATTTATGGTATTAATCTGATAGAAAACTACAGTAAAATTGCACTGTCCTAGTCTACTGTGGGTGCTCACTGAGTACTTCTGGTCTTATAAATATACAGTTCAGATTCACAGAAGGTTTTTGACAATAAGTAGACAGATGCTCATTTTATTTTTATATTGATAATATGTTTCTTTACTAAAATAATTAGGTTTCATTTTAAGAGACAAGTTGTTAAAAACAAAACCAGACAAGTTGTTAAAACACTAGAAAATTAAAGTCATGGTGTACTTAAAAATACCATCAAGAAGGATAGACAGAGTGTTTACATAAAAAGGGACAGAAAATCTGCTGGTAAAGTCACAAGGAACTTTTCCCTCTTTCTGCCTTCATGAAGAGCAAGAAAAAAAAGTGTTGATTCTATCTGAAGGACACTTCTAGTTCTTGATACAGTTCCTTACTTCTGTTTTCTCCCAGGAAGATATATCAGTGAGGAACAGATGACAAAACTGCAATCCAGGTATAGCCATTTGAGAAAAAAGGGCTGCTCTATGCCCCTGAAAGGCTTTTTGCATTTCATCCATGCCCTGTGCCAAACTGACTTCCCTCTATGTTGAAAGGCTTCTTTTTGTCTATGACCTGACCAATATTTATAAGTGATGATCTTCTCATCTCCCCATTCTGTCTGGACAACCACAAAGGAGAGCATTTAGCTGAGGTGTTGCTTTCCAGGAAGGCAGGGTTGAGATTTTTATGCCTATTAAAATACTCTCATAGTGCTAACTCATAGCCACAGTCTTAACTTTTAGACACAAGCACTGCTATACTGTGAAACCAATGGATAAACCAAGCAGATTTTTGCTGTGTGTTTGCTGTCTTGAAATCAAATTATAGTGGTTTCTTTTTCCATTTCATGAATTGAATAACTTTTTACAATGGTCGTTCCCTATGTGTACCACTGCCAATGTGCTCAAATACCCTCCGTATACCTTCAGCTTACAGGTCTGCAGGTTGCCTCAAATCTTCCATGGAAAAGCCAGTACAATATGATGCAGTACAACTGTAAACTGTACAATCAGTACATTAACAGATTACAGAAAAGAATGTCTGTGAGAGTGATGGCACATTGTATGACACCAATTTCAACCAAAATGTATGAAATAACTAGTGGCCAAGTGGTAGCTAAAGTATTTGCATACAAATATTTTTCAAGATTATGATTTGTTAGATTATTCATTATGATTAAGTAGTTCAGAGTACTCTGTAGGCTAAGTATCAAGTATTTAACATGTAGAGTATTGAAGTAAAGCCCTATATAATTCTTTAATATTGTGACGTCTGCATGAAAAATAATTGCAGGACATGGTTGAGGAGAAACAGTGCCTATGTCTTGTATTTAGCCTTGTACCTTATGAACCTTTTCCTTGCAGCTAATGTCCTTTATACAGGCAAGAGAAACAATGATAAAATGAAAATAGAATCATTGAATCATAGAACTGGTAAGGCTTGAAGAGACCTTTAAGGTCATCAAGTCCAACCATCAACCCAACACATCACCATGTTCATCATTAAACCTGTCCTCAAGTGCCATATTCACACAATTTTTGAAAACTTTCTGGGATGTTGACTCTGCCATTACTCTGGGCAGTCTGTTCCAATGCTTTACAAACCTTTCTGTGAAAAAAAAAAATGTAACCTAAACCTTCCCAGGCTCAGCTTGTTGGTGTTTTCTCCTGTCTCTTGTTACCTGGAGAATAGCAGTGAGCTCCAAAGGACATGACACTGATGTGGCAGGCTGCCACCGAAGGGCCCTTGAGTTTCAGAGGAAGAGGCAATGCTGTGGGGGTGCCCCAGGGGGTTTGCCACCTCTCTTGTTCACGTGCACAATTTGGACAGATGAAAGGCTGACAGGGTCACAGTTATCATTCTCAGCAGTTACAGTCCCCTCCTTCCTGAGCTACTGTAATAACAGCTTGTAGGTTTAGTTTCCTACCGTAGGAAATAGCAACAAACATCCTCAAAAATCTAAATGTCATCTCTGTGGGCTCAGTGTATACTGAAGGATAGCACAAGTACACCATGTCACAAAGCAGAAGCTGGGAGATTACTTGTGTTTTTTTAACAAACAGCTCTAAAGGTTACTTTAATTTTATTATTTTTGGAAATCAGATAGAAGATAAATTAAATCAGATAAATGAAGTGTAATTTTTTTTTTAAACTTCAGTTTAGACTGCACCATTAAATCCATTAAACACCATTAGAGGGCACTTTTGTTACAATGCTGACAAATTCACATAAACTGAAAGGGCTTTTATGTGGTTTTCCTGCAGTCTGAAAACACAATTCCTAACTTCCTTGCTGCCACAGACCTTACAGTTCATATTGAATGAAATAGGTAAAAATTAATAAATGGAACCATTGTCTTTCCTAGGAAGGCATCACTGATCAGATGTAATTTCATGCAGATTGTTAGAAACGACAGGGCAGAGTCATTCCAAGGACAGAGGAGATGGGAGACTATGGAAATACAATAGATAAATCATTACAAATTGCAGTGAGCAGAGTCACAGCTTTAATTCTCTGATGTGCTTCACTCTAAGCTGTTACCTGTGTTTTGGCACCCGTACTGTATAAAAGTGCCGTCCGTCCCATCGCTGCAGCACTTGGTATGCAAAAGAAAAATGAAGGAATCACGTTGCTGAGGCCATGAGCCAAAAATTCCTGCAAAGTTGTTAAATAGAAGATGTTTTTTTCCTGTTGTTCTGTCATTTCAATGCCTCTTGCCAACAAAGGAGTCCCCTATGTAAATATTAGCAATGATAAAGGATGGACACATTTTTGAGGGAAAAGATCCAACAGGCACATGACAAAGGATTTCCCGACAGAACAGATCTTCTCACGACTCAGAGCTAATTTGAATGATTGAGCTGTTGAACCAGATTCATCAAAAGCAGGAAGGGCATTTTGTTCAATAGAATAAATGCTATTGCTAAGTTTTGAAGATTAAGTTCAACCAAAATATTTACATCTTGATCCATGTCTGCTTTTTAACTGGCCAGAGCCCCAAGTATTGGTGTCTGGAAACTATCCAGATCATTTCTGGTTTGTTGCTCTCTGGAAAAAGGCAGACATTGATTTCCCTTCCTTTTCAAGTATGTTTTAGTGAAGTGTGGTAGCTATACTATATGTATGCTGTCTTTCACCACAAATGTATTTGGTGTTTGTTCACAGTCAAAATGCAGACATGTCTGAACAAAGATTCTTAGAAGAAAAAGTGTAGAACCCACTTTATATGTGCAGCCTAAGAAGAATAGTTTAAGGAACTGTTCCACCATGGCCACCAAGACTTGGAGAGGCAAGTTGGTCTGCTGAGGAAAATGTAGGAAAATTATGCTGTATCCAGCCAGAAAAATACCAGCTCTTGAGTTTGCCTTCACAGCACAGAACAGCACCCCCTTAAAGCTAGCCCAGCAGCCTCACACACCCAAACCCCCATGCCAAGCACTATGCCTGGCCCCTGAAGGCAGTACAGCCACACCAAACACCAGCTCACTGCTCTCCTCTCATGCAGGCTTTGCTCCTTTGCTCCATTGTTTGATGCAGACATACACAGCGTTCCCAAGACTTCAGCAATGAAGCTGTGGAAGCTACAAGACTTCCAAAGGTGCAGGAAGATACACAGGTTGCTGTGTTCCATGGAGTGCCTTGAAACAAAGCAGCATGTCACCCTGGAGTCTGACCTGTGCTAAGCTCAAAGCATTCTTCCTCCTATGGCTGTAAATTTGGCAGCACTCTCTGAACTCATCCACCTTCTTAGATACAAATAAACCTTTATTTCAGGTGAGTCTTCTACTTTGCAGAACTATAATTAATTTCTTATAACATCAGATTAGTCCTGGGGCTATAAGTGCCTGTTTTTGGTTTAGAATTGTTTTGTTTCATTAATTGGTGGCTGATTTAGCATCATAGCTTGTCTATGAGAGCTCAACTGCCAAAGGAGAAGCTGTCTCATCTTAGAGCAGTGAAAAATGCATTAATACCCAAATGCTGCACTGAACCTAGCATTACAAGATTATCATGAAGGATGAGCTTCCCCCAAAAGGAGCAGTTCAACCAGTGAGGCCATTCTGCAGAGATAATTTAAACAAAATTTGGGTGTTACCGTAAACACTAAAAGGTGTCAACATGCTATATGGAACATAACTTTTCCTACATGGCATTCATCTATAACACTTTCCCCAAATGGTGAAGTGATTTCAAGGCTCAGTGACACTAAGGAGAAAGAGCTTTACCTGGTTGTCATCCACAGTGTATTTAAACTTTTTAGCAGAGCCTTGAGCAAGAGCTAGTGAGGCTACATAACCAACCAGTGCCACTCCAAAAGCTTCAGTGACTACTTCAGGCAGGACACTCATGGGTGGTGCTTTTGGTGATGGCAACCTATAAAAAATAAAGACAGTAATTTTTGCAAAACTTGATGCATTGTTTCTCTGGTGTCCACATAAATTGCAGGTATATAGAGACTGCCTCTGCAGGAAGAGCTAATTTTTGTATTACTTGTAAGGTGACATTTTTCAGTATTTTAGATTAATAAGATCTCAGTCTGTTGGGAACAGCAGAAGAGAATTTGTAGAAAGTGAAGCAGTTTCAGATGGAGTATTCAATTTAAAAACTTTAATTTGAGAAATTATAAAGAGATGTTGATAAATTTACTCCATGACTGACAAATAAAATTAGCAATCATTAATTTTGTAATGTTCAGTAGAAGAGACTACCATATGATTTCTCCTTTTTTAATATAGTTGGTCTTCTGGTAAAGTTAAATTTAAATCTTTAAAAAAATTTGTATTCCTGTCAGTTACTGACAGTAGAGACATTTATTCCATCTAATGGGGATTGCAATGAAACTACTCAAGTTATGAAGCAAACCACCCCAGATTGTCTCTGAACGCTTCAAAAAGACTTTGGTCTTTCCAGAGCACAAAACGCACTGCCCAAAAACCAAATGGTACTCTTAAGGTTTCTGATGCTCTCCACTGACAAAGCATTTCAGGTATATTCAGGTATTTCAGGTAAATGCCTAAAAATATGCAGGAATGATCCAGACTCTGCTTCTGTTTTTCAACACTATTTGTGTGAGGTTAGACAGAAAATAAATTCCTGATTAAAACTGCACAAATACCGTTTACTTATTCATTACACATGGAAGGGGAACACTTAGTCATGCTTTAGTCTCAGATTTGTAGTATGCCTTAAATACTTAAAAACCACATTCTTTCTCAGGAATGTCCCTTATTTTATTTCTTTCAGTGCAAGCTGACACACACTCATGCTGTCTTGGACTCATACTTCGTGAAATTTAGGGAAACCCTGCTATATCCAAGCAGGAGATTACACAACAGCTGTGCTCTTCCATACCAACCTGTAGACTTTGACCATTTTGTCTCACAACTAATCAAATTTCTTTTTCTAGTTAATTATATTGAATTTTTTCCCCTCCTTTGCAAGGTCATGGGGAAAAGTATATCATTAAGTATAGTAAAAATGTTCTTTTCTAGATTAAGCATAATTAAATCTTTTACATTTTCTCAGAAACCACATTTTCTAAAATTACTATATAGATGGAGAGGAATGAAATGTAGTAATCTACAAATCTCATTGTAAATCCTTTCTGCTACAATAACCCAAGGCAACTCTCAAAAACAAGATTGCAATAATCTCATAGAGTGTCCTGCCCCCTGTCATACATCATCAAGTACTTAGTACCTACTTTTTATTCCACAAAGTAATAAAAAGCTATGAAAATATACAATAATGCATTTTTGTGATGACATCTATGCACATATAACTTGTTAACATGGGATTGAATTGTCAGAGAGTATCTGAGGAGACAGGAAACAAACATAATAGATTTTTACCATTTCTTATTTCAGAAACAGCTTCAACCTTTTCAGAGACTGTTCTCAGAAATAAAAATGTTTAAAAGCCACAAGCTAATAAAACTCACATTACCCTTTAGGAATATTTCCCACAACTTCTATCCCGTAGATGTATTCCATATCAGCATAGTAGCAAGCAATGGATGTAGCAATTATCTAGTGATTCAAACAGAAAAAGATGTTACATTTCTGTTGCTTCTGAGATGGTCTCTGTTATTGCCATACCTAAGCACATGGCACTATTCATACATTCATCCTTAGATCAATCCAGTAAAACAGGAAAATATTATTTGGATTTTTTTTACAAATATGGAAGAGAGTCAAAAGAAACCAAGATTTGGACACAATAATGAAGTGAGACTTCAGTGCAGTTTGTATATTCTGTGTTGATGAAACTGATTTGTATGGCTCTGTAAAGCCTCAGGAACCTTGGCAATCAGTGTCCACAGTCCCTCTGCTCAGGATGTGCCCCAGAGCCCTGCCATTCATGTGAGCAGCTTAAAGCAGTTCATAATTTAGGTGTTCCTGAGTAGTCTGATTCAGCTGGTGTTCTCTGAGCCCATCTAATCCAGACTGGCAGTGTTGACTTCAGCACAGAACGCAGCAGAAGATATGTCTGCCTTTTGTTTTTATGTTCTAGCACTTATGAATCTTACAGAGGGAGAAGAAGGTGTGACCCTGAGGAAGTTCAAGCTAATTTCTTGTATTTCAGATGAGATGAACACACAAATCCCAATAGAACACGTTTCCAGTCTGCAATCCTTAGTTTGCTGGCACGTTTTATCCAGTATTTCTAAAAAGGTGACACTGAGACCAGGACCATACTACCTCCTTTTCCAGCATTCTGCCCTTGTAAACATCTTTTTTCCAGTAACAGAAGAGTAATTGCTCTAATACACCCTAAAAACCAGCTGTCCTTCATGCTTTGTTTTTCTTTTAGAGGTTTAGAGAAAAACAGAAACTTTCTGATGGTGGTCTAGTGCTGGTCATTTGACTGCAGCTTAATCATTAAAGCAGGGGTTTATAATGCAATTGCTAATTTTAATCTAGACTGTACTATGTTAAAGAAAAACTTAGTAAAATGACAGAAAATAATAGCATAACTATTTAGCTTTGTTGTAGGTAAATTGCAAGCGACATTTAAGGCACGACTACCCAGCACAAGACTTGTTTGGAGTTACAATATGCCAGTTACTTTTTATTTTCTGTTTCAAACTTCTTACACTTTAACATTCTAAGCTTCGTGAACCTGTGATTATGTAAAAAGTAGTAAATATATGAAAAATACTATACAAATTGGGAGCTAATGTAGTTTCTTTCTTAATTATTAAACCAGACTGTTTCCTGTTTTTACAATGAATTTACAGCCATGAAAATCAGCTGTCTATTTAATAAGTGGCAAGCGTGGGTGTGGGTAACTATAGACAGCACAGTAAACTTCAGCAGCTTGATCCACTGAAAGCTCTGTAAGAAAAAGCCTGATATATAATTTTGTACTTACCAAAAGTAGATCGATGGGAAGGACAACTTTAATGTTTCTGTGAAATTTCTCATTCAGTTCTTTAACAAGAACAAGTACCACAATGCTCAGCAAGGAGAGAAGTAATGCCTCCAGCTGAACTGATCTGATATTCCCAAACACATAGGCATAAATCTACAGTGAACAGCAAACAACAATCACAGATCAAAAAATATGTTCTGGATCACATGCCATGGCATCTTCTCACAACTTCAGGCAAATAATGAGTGAGAGCTAAATCAATACTGCAGGAGCTGAGTTACTGGACACATTTTGGCCTGCATTTTAGATTTTACAAGGAAGAAAATCTCCAATTTACCACTCCTGTGGACTTTCGAAAACTCAAAAAAAAATTGCAATGAATATTTGTTTATATTAATTTACAAATTTCTATTGGTAGAAACAAGCATAAAATTGCAGTAAATGTGATGTTTCCTTTGCCTATTCAGTCTCATAGAGTTCAGTGAGATAAATGAGTGCTGCATAAACTGTTGAGAAAAGTTTCTTGCACAAAGGTTTATTTGTAGTGGCCATAGCATATAACGTCTAACAACCCTAGTAGCAAAAGTTATTTCTGAGAAAAAGAAATTACAAGACAGAAAAGATGGGGGAAGAGAAGGAGAGGAAAAAAGAAAAGGGAAAGAAAAATGCAGTAGTGTCTGGATGGGAAGATAGGCAACAGGAATCTTCCAAGATGAGCATCCTCTTCAGGGCATCCTCTGCAATCTGTGGGTCATTTTTCCAGAATAATGTTTTTCCAGAGTAATTTCAGTGAGGCATCCTGAGTCTCCCTTACACAGTTCTCCACAGAGCATGCTTTGGTCAGGTCCAGGTGCTGCACACATTAAATAGTTGCCAAGCTTTCATACGTATGTTACTGGTTATTTAAATAACTAAAGTTATCTGCTTAGCCCTGTGTTTCCTTTTCTGCTGACTGCAGAATTAAGAGAGGACACCAGGCCAGAGCTATGGAGCTGTGAGCAGGAGTCCATCAGCTTTTCAGCAGTTAATGTGTGCTGCAATAATCTGTAAAACAGGCTAGAAAAATGTAGTTGGATGAACAGAGGATATATGGTGCTGAATTATGAGGGGCATACAGAGTAGAAATATGGAACAGGAATAGAAGGACCAATGGTGATGAGAAAAAGAGGTCTTTGATGATGAATACAACGTTGTAAGTAACAGACTCAGAAGAATGTAGTTACCTTTGTACCAGCACAGATGACACACTGTAATTTTTGCTTTATGCTGAATTTGTGGGTTCAGGAAATAAGGCATGAATCAGTGTGGCATTAGATTAACAGAAAGTAATGAAGAAAATTAGAAGTTTGCTGAAACAGTTAGAAGGGATGAAGAAAGTTAGAGAGAGCATCTATCCTGATAAATAAAGAAATCATGAGATCTTATCACAACTTATTTTCGGGCCTCATGAAGAAAAGCAATAGTCTATTTCCTGAAAGAATAGCAAGCCATAAAAATGGATACAATACACATGCTTACTAAAGCTGTAAGGGAAAAAACAAGATAGTCTCAGTCCCATGAGTTCTGCATTTAAATTCTGGGAACTGTTTTGCATCCTGAAATATAAACCATGAAGAGAACAGAAGTTAAGATTAGGATGTAGATTTAGACATCATCACAAGTCACATTTTTTTAAACCCCAACATAAAGGATAATAAAATCAAGCAAGTGAAGCTTGAAATAATAATAGTAATATATATACAAAAAAGGTGTTTTCTCTGGCAGTGACTAAGAAGACCACTAAAATAAATCAAAAGTGTACTTTTTTTTACAAAAGACACTTGTAGTTTTATCAAAGTAAAGATTAATAATTTTCTGCCCCAGAGAACATATTCTCAAATACCTGTATAATGCTAACAAATTTTGACAGTTTGGAGGTTAAATACATATATTTATATTGGACAGGAAAGAGTACTAGAAAAATTATCTTAGGAAAGAACCCTCTTTCTAGTGGAAAGGTAATCAATATGATGATAAAATTTATTTCTACTGTTCTGATTCTGTCACTCATTGAAGAGGTGATGCTCAAATTGAAGAATGAGTAAATTAACTTCCTGATTTTTTCTCTCTGAGAATATTTTCATTATCTAGAAAGGGAAAAAAAAACCAACCTAAATATGGTTTCAGAAAAGTAACTTAACATAATGAGGAAATTTAGCCCTTGGAGTTTTGATTAAAGATGCACAATATAACCCAGCACAAACATTTCTCAGAAACCAGGAAAATATTTTAAAATCAGCTTGTCAAGTAATATGGTATAGATATGTCTTAAATCCGAAGAATGGCAATTAAACCACAGTTTTTAACCACAGATTGCACCACTGTAATCAGAAAATATGTGGATTGTGTCTTGAGTGGCTTGGGACTAGATCTGTACCCATAATTTTCCAAGAATGTATTTTCAAGACAGCACAGGACTTGGCTCAGTGCCCAAACAGAAGCTGTGTTTAAGACAAAAGGAGACAATCTGGAAAACTGTGCCCACAAACTTACCAAAGACTGAGCTAGATCTAAGGTGAAGTGGCAAAAAAAGGGAAGAAATGGGTTGATTCCTACTTGCTGAAGACAGAGAGATGGGATTTGTTTTGAAATGAATGCTGGCTATTAAAGTGTCAGCATTATCTATCTGTGCTCATGGCATCAAATCTAATTTTCCTAGACAAAGTGAGACAAAAGTCTGAGTGAATAAATAAAATTTTAGTGAAGAAATATACACAAGCTTCAAAAATTTTCATCTTTCAAATTGGGTAAAAAAGGCCTTTAATTTTAAAAATACTTGTAGACCTTTGCCATACGTTTTTCAGACTTTGCAACAAGATCTTTGTATGAACTGCCTAGTACATCCTTTGGTGTTTCTTTGAAGTTGTACCCTTCTGTATGTAGTCTACATCATTTTCTTAAGTGAAAAATAATGGAACTACCAACATTTTGTAGCTCATTCAAATTCAGTAGCCCAAAGAGGCCTATTCCCAAATTGTCTGTAGTACACTAAAACAATTCTGGCAGTAATACATTAATATTAAATTAATTGCTGTATTAGACTAAAGAGCTTCCACTGACTAGTTGGTGCCTGGGTAACCATTTTCTGAAAACCTAAAACCACTCAGCTCATGATATGACCAGTGAAACAAGGAGACCCTTTCACAGGAAAGAGACAGCATGTGGATCTTACCAGGAATGTAATTAATATCCACAATAGACATCTCTTTAAACTGCACATTCTACATGGTAACCTGTCCAGTCAGTCACTCTACTCAACCAAGATCAAACTAGAAATCCTAAATCTAAGTACATGAAGATGAAGCTTGCAATAGCATTGGCTTCTGATTCAAAAGAAGTATTTGCAAATGTTTTAATCGAGAATGTAATTTTAAATTCAGCATTTCACATATTTAGATGATGCACTTACAGAAATAATTTGGCAATTATGCAGCAGAATTTAGCTCGATATTGCAGTGTACAAAGCAATCTTTGCCATTATATAATTTAAAATATTTTTTAAATCAGCAATACTACATTAATTGACCTGTTTGCCTCTTGTGTTTTTAGTTTCATTGCTAGTTTTGTGTAAAGATTCTTGATAGAACCTATGTGACAATATTATGAGCAATCAGTGGACTTTTGATTATCAGTGCAAATTTCAACCTAAGTGAAACAAGCAATATTTGACCTTTGCACACATATATATATATGTTTATATATACTTCATGTAAATAAATAAATAAATAAATAAATATATACAGACACTGAATCTTCCTTTTCTCATGGGAAACCATCAGTCTTGACATGATATTGATCACTGAAATGTTTTATATTCTAGAAAGAGTGTTTATTTGGATGCATTAACAAAATGCTCTGGGTTGGTTTTTTTCAATGTCTACATGAAACCCCAAAAGATTAGCTCTAAAATGTGTATAGAGGCTGAAGTGAACAAATTAAAGGAACAAGTTATTTAACACAATACATTTTAAGAGTGGACAACTTAATTTCATTTTCAAAAACATTTCATTCTTATGGTTTTAAATATGTCACGTTGGGGGGAAAATGTACAGGCAAATGCTGTAAGCTGTATAGGTAACTGGGGAAAAAAGGGTGAAAAGAAAGGACTGATAGCAAAACGTGAAGGTTTGGGGTTTTTTTCAGAATTACAGCAAAACCACACAAGGATTTTGCAACAAACTTGCAACACGACCACAAAATACCCCTTTTGCAAAGCAGGTTTCCTACATTGCAGTTCATTTTGCAGTGTTGTATTTTCTCAGAAACATGTGGAAAGAGAAATATGTCTATACACAAATAAGGGGCAAATGCATGTATGTTCTTCCATTTTCAGATGCTGAGTAAAACTTGATGACACTTTCATTTCCCATGTAAAGTTAGATGTCACAGGCATTATTCCCTCACTGTTTTTCCTCTTCATTTTTCCTTTTCCATTTGCAAAATAATAGCTGATGCTGCACTGTGCAGCTCAACTGAAATGTGACAAACTATGTACAAGGAAAACAAAATTTAATAAGTTACATAACCTATGTGTAAACACAGCAATACCATAGGCTCAAGGCCAGTGTACTAGATTTGTTCTCCATATGCGAAGTTCCTTTCTACGTATTTAACTATGATCTCACATGCTATAAAGAATTCATTTCACTGGCTTGCTGTACTTGCAACTCTCTTATCACACTTTATTAAACATTCTTATTCTTGCTTTGCCAACCCAAAGGCTGCCTGAGGCAAAGCAATTGGTTTTGTGAGTGGGAGGTGTTTTGGAGTGGACAGAGAAAAAAAATGTAAGCAAAAGTACCCGTCTTTGCATTTTGAAAATTTGAAGTAAACGTGTCCAGAGAGACATGCCAAAATTGCCTTTCACTCTCTAGATACATGTGAAAACTACCTTATATCTAATTAATATAATATTCAGATAAAACTACAACCTCAGAAGAAAACTATTGTTAAAGCCTAGCTCTGGTACTTTAGACTGAGATACTGAACCTTCTTAAGGCAAGTCATAAGACTGAACAGACACCAGAAATATTTTTAAATATTTATATAGTAAAATTGCCCCTTTTTCATTATTCTTTTTAGTTGTACAGAGTAGATTTATTATTTTTTTTTTTTGGTATTTATTTTCACACAATTTACAGAGCAATTCAGAATCTTAAAAAAATCGGGAAAATTTTTCTTTGGAATATGTTCAAAGGCAAGGAACTTGTTTCAAATACATTAAAAATACAAGGGATAAGGGAATAGATTTCTTTCAAAGCATTTGCATGACCTCATTTATGATATCATCAGCACACCAAGGTGGAAATATTTCTTCATATCACTGCTGTTTTTTATTATTGCTCATAATGTATATTTTGATTATGCTTTGGCTGCACTACTTTAAACCAGTCATCTCTATAAGATGACAGTATTCCTATATGTAAGTATAGTTTCCATGGAAACACCATGAAAAAGAGGCTATTCACATTTTATATTAACAACCATTTATGAAAAGGTTTTTAAATAATGAAAAAAAAAAAAGAACCATTTTTAATAGTCTAATAAGCCAACTGACGACTCATGAAAATAGCTATGACACTTTTAGGTATATGTCTACAAGATAAATGGATAAATTACTTGTGTTTATTACATGCTCCTAATTTTCATTAATAAATTGATCCTGTAAAAAACTTAACACATTAATTATCCATATTAAAAACTATTGAATTTATAAAATACTACGAAAAAAGCATTCTAAAAAGCAACATCTTGTAATCAGGATTTCACATTAACAAATTTTCCAAATAATAGGAAAAAATAAAGCACATAGTGGGGCACAAAGACATAGTCAGTGCTTTTAAATTAGGTGTCCTAATTTAGTGGCTGACTGTTTGAGGTCTCACTATCAGTGCTATGTAAATATCACTTCAGCAAGTAAATACAGTTTTATTATGAGCAAAATATCATTTTGACAGGTAACTAATAATGCCAAGAGATTATGCTCACAGCACTGAAACTCAGGGCTTTCTGGAATAAGTTACCATCAAGAAAATGTTTGTGACTTCTGTGTAATAAGATTATATAGCTTTGCTCTTTAAGGTTTGAGCCAAAAATATGTACTTTCCAAGGGCTGTAACCATGGCACTGGTGGTGGTGCATCACTTCCTGGCCTTGACCAAACCAGCCAGATGGGGACATGTCCCTGACAGTTCCAAGTGCTTTCACATGATGCAGGTGGGAAATCACAGTAACAGCAACATCCACTGTCCAGCTGCGGTGGGCAACAAAGGGTGATCAGACATCCCCTGACAGCCTTGGAACATTCCCTACCTGAACTGGAGCCCAAGTAGAACAGCACCATTGTTGCTGAAGTTTTGGAAACAATTTCCAAATGTTTTGGAAACTCCAGTAGTTGCCAGCATGGGTTGCGGCCAGGATGGAAAACAGCTGATGACTAAAGCAAATCACCTTGTGACCCTGCACACAACAGTCCTAAGTGAGGCCTTCTGAGCTCTTCTGGGCCACAGTGGGCTGTGCCAACACCTCCCCCTCTGTGGGGCACCTCTCTTAGCCCCTCAAGTCTGCAATACTCAAAAGAGCATCACTTAGAGTGAGGCCGAGGCTGGTACACACACACAGACACACAGACACACACAGACACACAGACACACACAGACACACAGACACACAGACACACACACGCACACAAACACAGACACAGACACACACACACACACACACACAGACACACACAGACACACACACACAGACACACACACACAGACACACACACACAGACACACACAGACACACACACACACAGACACACAGACACTCACAGACACACAGACACACACAGACACACACAGACACACAGACACACACAGACACACACACACAGACACACACACACACACAGACACAGACAGACACACACAGACACACACACACACAGACACACACACACACACACACACACACACACACACACACACACAGACACAACACAGACACACAGACACACACACACACACACACACACACACACACACACACAGACACACACACACACACAGACACACACACACAGACACACACAGACACACACACACACACACACACACACACAGACACACACACACAGACACACAGACACACACAGACACACGNTGCTTTCACACACACACAGACACACACACACACACAGACACACACACAGACACACAGACACACACACACACACACAGACACACACACACACAGACACACACACACACACACACACACACACACACAGACACGCACAGGCACACAGACACACAGACACACACACACACACAGACACACACAGACACACACAAACACAGACACACACACACAGACACACAGACACACACACAGACACACAGACACACACAGACACACACAGACACACACAGACACACACAGACACACACACACACACACACACACACAGACACACACACACACACACACACACACACACACAGACACACACACACAGACACACACACACAGACACAGACACACACAGACACACAGACACAGACACACACACACACACACGCAGGCTCCTTGAGGTGCAACCCCAGCCTGCTGAAAAACACTCAGGCATTTGCCATGAGTACTTCTCTGAAGCCAAGGGGAATCTTTGATAAGTACTTTTACACTCACAGACAGCCATGTATAAATCTCTGCCTGTGTGCATGTGAAATTATTATGGTGTGAATATTGTTATCAGGAAACTGCAATTAAGTCACTGTTATATATATTTAAAAATCCCATTTAATCACTTCATAAATGTTAAATTACTCAGTGATGAAATTCTGTTAAACCCTTTTGCACACCTTATTTTTTCCATACCCTTTGCATCCTTACCCTTTTTTATCCTCAGTCTCCATGTAATCCATTTTTAATTGATACTAATGCAATTCTCCTATGAATGCTTCATCCTTGGAGTAAGAGAGTGAACCTTGCCACTGAACTCTGTTAAAGTCACACATTCATAAGTTCATATTAAGCTCATACCTGCTCTTTGCCAGTACCTCTGGTGGTGATGCTTTCAACAGCCTAATCGCTCATTTTCAACAATACTACATGAAATGTTGCATGCATTTTATAAAAATTACCTTAAAGCTGTCCATTTGCTGTGTTTATGGCAAAGTAGTATCATGCCATAAAATAATAAATAACATATTTAGAGTAATTTTTGCATAGGATATGCACAAATCATAGGTCATTTTCCTTTTACCACAAAGATGGTCAGATTTCATTCAGCAGCATAGAAAGAAAATATGTTTAAATTTATATTTATATTCCTTCCACATGCTGACCCAGAGAGAGATTACTCTCCTTGTATGAGTATATAATGGCTCAGGATAATAAATGGAATTACTGGTGCCCTAACAAACGTATTTTAAATTAATAACTGTACCCATTCCTTCTAGTTCTCTATCAGGTTTTTCAAATCTCTTCTAACAAACAGTTAAAGCAAGGTAAAGCTTCATCTTCTGTTCATTCACACATGAGCATAGCAAATTCCATACTCTTACTCAGAGACAAATAATACATATAATAAAATCTTAGGCAATGAGGTAACCCAGCTCTTTCAGGGAACTCACATGAAAAAATGCCAGTGGTCCCGATATATATGGCATTTTCATTCCCAGCAGATGCTTCACTTGTGAAGTCACAACGTGTGTAGCTGCTCCTGTTGTCATTGCGCTTATCACGGGTTCTGTTAACAAGAACGTGGCGCTGCCCAAGTGCAGCATAAACATTGCTACCTAAAAGGAAAAGGCAGCAATTATTATAAAATGCAGCATCTTAGTGATAGGACAATGAGCCAGAGTCCTCTTAATAAGTTACAAGATAAATGAGCTAAAGATACAAAGCAAAAGTCCTTTGGAAGACAAATATAGGTAAAAATGGAATCCACTGAAGTTCTGTGAGTTTACCTATTTTACTCACTAATTTACCAGACTCTAACACTGGTTTAGTGACAAAAGCAGACTCAAAGAAACTCTAAATATTCTCTCCTGCTCAAATACGTGAGCACAGTAAACACCATAAAAACATCAACTCAAAGCTGCAACAAGAAGTACTGCAACTCCAAAAGTGATGCTGGTTCTAGGACTCATTCCTGCTCTGCTGCTGTGCAGCCTAAATGGGCCAAGAGCCATATCTTGGTCCAGCTTACTGATTGGCATAATGTCACTATCAGGATTAGTAATTAGTAATTTCAACAGATACCAAATGTATGAGATTCTATAGACTCTTGTGGTGAGACCTCTAATCCAGGAATTTAAACTACAGCAGGATCTACAACTATAGCAGCTATTGTGATGTTCTCCCTTTATCCTGGACTCTGAACATTCTTTCCCTCCAAAGTCTGAGATTTGCCAACTCTTAATTCTTTGAATAAAATTGTTATATGACTACAGCTGCTGCTGTGATTTACATAACACAATCCCCATTAAGTTACATTATCACCCCTCACAACGAGTTTTGCAGTTTCTTACTTCTATGATCTTTTGCATTTGCTGTTCTTCTGCCTGAGAAATTGCATGCTCTTGGCACAGAGTTGTTTGTTACAATATGGTATGTTTTAACAATATGTTAAAATAACAATAATATGTTCTAAGAGGTTCATTTTGCGTTTACAATACTAAACATCATCATTTTGAAATATATCACAGTCACCCTTGCTTTTTTTTTTATTGCTTTTTTTTTCCTGAAGCTAAAATTATCATTTTCAGATGTTATCATTCTTTAAGCCTGAACACCATTCATGTTCTCACCATAAAACTTACCTGTATATAGTGAGCTTTGAGCATGGTACCACAAAAGAAACAATAATATGAAAATAAGTGGCTTTTCATTTACCACAAAACCTCTAGTGAGCAATATCCTCTTCCATTTGAGAGATTAAATCTGAGATTTTTCTTCTACATCCCACTAATAACATGTAAATTGCTCTTTAATATGAGCAATTGGAACATTGATTGCCATTCAAGATTGGACTCCAATAATGATAATTACTGCATACCCTCAGTGAGTAGTCATTTAGTTAGTCAGGCCTAAAACTGATAATTACTAATTTCAGATATTTTGTTTAGCTGTTTGTTCTAACAGCGTGTCTACTAATATATTTAAAACATTGTTCACAGTAGCAAAGATCAATAAGAATTAAATTCTCCCTTCTCTAGTGGATTTTTGTTTGTTTTCCAAGATTGATTTCTATTGTCTGAATGTGAAATTTCTAACTGTGTAATAGCTTCGTTTCCAGGAAATTGGATGTTTATTTAGCCATGGAATCAAAACCACAGAGACAATTCTGTGTAGTACATAATATCACAGAGAAGTATTAGTTACTGTTAGCATTTGAGAGAAAGTTATTATTGTGAGTTACAGCAAAATGATTGCTGAGATTAGAAACTTCAGCACCACTCTCAGATCTACTTTTTGTTTTTTTACTTTTTTTTCTTTTAATCTTCAGGATTTTAAAAGGATGATTCACAGGTACTAGCTAAAAACACATTTGAAACACAGTTTTTATTGATTGCACGCAGCCATAGGCTATGTAAAATACATGTAAAACGTGAATATGTTTTCAGCTAGACAGTTTCTGCAGCCACTCAATTAAAAAAGCAACAACCTCCACTTGGTCCCCTCTCCTTACTGCAGAAGGTAGCTCAGGGCTTCCAGAAACAAAGACAGTACTTCATCAGCATGAACATCCTACTCCTTATTTACATGATAGTTAAATAAATCTGATGCTCAGCCATACATCTTTCATGGAGAAGATCTAAAAATGAAACAACCAGAACAGGAAACATTCTGGATGGGTGGAGGGTGTAATTTTCAGCATAAACTGGTGTGGGAACCTCATGTTGTCCTTGCAATCATGAGTAATGTAAAGAAACTTCTTGGATCATGAGGAGGAAAAACAGTATTGAAACAAGCCTCCCAAATCTGGTTGCATGTGAGTTTTCCTGACAGATAAAATTATTAGCATTTACACAGGCCCAGACTGACTCTACAATTAACCCTCCATGCTGGGAAACAGCCATTTAAGCTTGGCTGCCACTGCATTTTGAATAAACACCATTTGAAACTGAGCTAAGCTGACAGCACACAATTGCACTACATTGCATTATGTCATAAAATCTTTTCACCCAGTAACGCTGACCAAACTGTAGAAAGTTCAATATTCTCAAGGAAATGTCTAACAAGCTGCTTTGTCTTGGCTCTTTGTTTTGATGCTTATTTTTTGCAGGTCTTCCACTTTATTTTCTGGTATATTTTATGATTTCTTTTCATTCCTGATGCAGAAAAACTACAGAGAAAAGAGACAGTAAAGTGCAAGAACAGGAAAAAAAATATAAAAAAATATTTTTTTCTTTTTATTTTTGTCATAATACTGAGATTTTCTTAAACTGTAAAAGAAACAAAATTTTCACATATTTTAGAATTGCATCCATAATTTTTAACAATTTAGTTCCTCGAGGACAAGAGTATATTTCAGTGAAAGGATATGCACAATGCTTTGAAAGGCACTGGGCTGTTGTTTATTTGTGTGGCATTTTCAGTACATAATACCATGTAAAAAGGCTCATTAAGAAGTAACTTTCTTGAGAAGAATTTTGCTTTCACCAGGTATACATTCTTGAATAAATTCATGTAAATGAAATCAACACCTTTCAGAGAAAAGAAAAAACCAATATAAGAGAAAGTGAGGGAAATCAGCCTTGAGTTAATGCATGGTAAAGGAGAAAAGATCATGGAAACAAGGTATACAAGGAAGTGATTAGACAGAAGTGGTGGAAGGTGTGATTTCTAAACAAAAAAATAGAAAAGAAATAAATTTCAAATTGGAAGAAAACAATACAAAAGGAACCTTTTCTTGCAGTTGTCTTTACTGCTCTATAATTTTACTCTGACTAGTAGAAGAGAATGGGAATTTAGCCAGGAGAAGAAAAATGAGCAATTGCAAAAAGCAAGGCCCTCTATGTTCATTAATTCAGAACCTTTGGTTCTTGTCCACTTTCAATACTTTCTTCCCATGACAACATGCTCAGTTTATTATTATCATTATTATTATTAAAATTCCATTCAACATGTAGTCTATTTAACTTCATGGGCAGTAAAAATTTTTATCACTTAACAGGTCTTTGGAAATCACTAATGTCAAACTTCCAGTCCAGAGAAATTAAAAGACTGATATCATGTTACCTGCAGCACAGATTCAGCTTTGGAGAAAGAATTTTAAACCCCCCAAAACTCCACTGTACTGAAGGGGTTTTACATTCTTACAGCAGACAGAGTGTGGTGCCCTTTCTGATCATTTGCTGCATGGGCTGGGTAGATGAGGCCAGATATGGGGAACATCTCTTGAAGGGAAACAGTGCAGATTGTGAGCCTCTCATTTAGTACATTTTATCAGTTCTCTAAATTCAAGACTGCAAAAGTGAAGACATCTATGAAGCCTCTGGAGACAGCAGTCAGACACAGTTCAACTTGGCTGAGTTGCCAGTTTAAATCTCTCCATGGCCTGTCTCAATAGACATCTAACTGGTAGACCAGTAGCTTCTGGTCTTCTGAGCTGCAGCTCTTATGTTCATTCTGGGTGTCTTGAGAGCATCTGGAAGCTTCTGACAATGTGCAGAGTGAACTTGCCTCATTTCAGGACCTGCAAAAGTCTTTTCTATGGTCTTTCTGTACTAATATATACCGTGTTCTACCATAATTGTGGGAACCAGAACTCCCACCCAACCCACTTCTTTTGAAAATTCTATTTCAAAATACTAATGCTATTACTACTACAACGTACGACAACTACTGTAGTTTCCAAAATACAGAATATGAGCCTACAATAAGGTATTTCCACTGTAAAAGAAAAAATGAACTTTTTTCCTGAATTATCAGTGTATAATATACTCATGTTTTTACCTCATGCAGAGCTATGTGTAACAGACTAGTGCACCATCATTTTTCCTACAGAGTAATAGAGATTTGGACAAGAATATTGCCTTATGAAAACACCCTTCTTATTCAAATGTGCTCCTTTGTTATTAAGCAAATTGATAATAGACTGTGTAAATTTGTCCTCCTGAAAACCAGAAACATTTTTATTTCCAACTCTGTATATCAGCAACTAATAACATGTTAGTTTTTAAAATACAGTGGATGAAAAACTTACTAATAAAAATGTTACAAGACTGGAATGCAATAAGCAGCTATTTCTCCTTTACAGAATAGCCCAACTGAAGTCTATAACGCTGAGGTCTTAAGAGAATTATGGTTTTTTTCCTAGGGTATTTTTTTTCCTCAGTTTGATCTGCAAGGAGCTTTCATCTATTTATTTAGAAAATCTTAATCTTGAATTTCAGTTTAGTATGCTGAGATTATTTTAGAGACACATATATTTATGCAAGCATTCTTGCACATATAATATATTAATACGGGAAAAAAATATCCTACTCAAAAGCTCTCTTGAGGAATTTTTAATGTTATAAAGGCAGCATCCAATTTTAATTACAAAATTACTCCAGAGGTGTTTGCTATGTTCCATCATTTTCCCTCCCCATCAAAACCTCTGAGGTATTTAATATCAGGGAAGAATTTTATTAACTTGAATTGTTGTCCATGCCCTGTTTATCTTTATAGAGTAGCAGCTACACAAACATAAAAAAAAATCTTCATTATGCCTTCCATTCTGCTTTTAAAAATGAAATAACGAATGCATTATATTAAACAGTTTTGGCAATTACAGTTCTTATGTTTGCTTATTTTCTATTTCAATACTATTTTATCTCCATCAGAATGCCTCTTAAGATAACTGAATATCTGTCCTCTTATGAACACTTCTTCAAACATTCAATTTCAGAAGAAGTTTAGGACTCTGAAATTTATTACTCTGAGAAAAACTTAAGCAGCTAAGCCCCAAATTTTAATTGTGTTAATCTCTACCTATCCTTGTCTTATGATCAGGAAACAGTTCTAATTTATTTCATGTCTAGATATCACGAAATTCACAAAGCCTGCTCAGAGTTTGCCTCACACACAAATGCACAGTTGTGGTCTTCACTAAACACAAACTAGCCAACAGCAGCTCATCTCAAAAACATCTCCCCACCCCACCTTCCCTCCATTACTCACTATTTTGTATGTTTACCTTTTATTTTAACTATTTTAATAAATATTTTAACTTTTATTTTATTTATTATTGTTTGCTGATTAGAGTACTTAGCCAGGCTACTGGAAAAATAACATCAAATTGTTTTTTAGGCCAAGGGTGTTCAGCTCTTTACCTATTCTTCCCAAGAAGAAAACAGCTGTTTTGGCAAGGACTTCTCATCCTTCATCTGGAGGCTATGGATCCAAGGTATGGATTAGTCACAGCATCAGTTGTTTTTGTGCAATTAGTGGCTGATTAGAGAACTGCATTTTGAGTGTTTTTGAGAAAAAGTAAAGTCTTATAATAGATAACATAACTCAGATCTGCTCCCTTCCCAGAGCATTACCAACCCAAATACCAACTACACAGAAGATACAACTTTTTTTTGTATTTCAGGACGTCTTCAATGAAAAGCTGTTGCCTCAAAATGCACCACACAATTCTTCTTGTCCCAGAACATACATTAACCCCAGGCTGGTAATTAATTTCTAATCAAATCTGATAAATAGAAGAAGGTGATTGACTTAGCTCTGCATGAAGAGCAAGCTGTGCCCTGTCACCTTATCTGGGGTTTGCAGCAACTATTAGTCAGGAGACTGGAATCATGATGAGAAACATAGATTCCCACACTTAACAGCACCTGGGAAGATGGCAAAGTTTATTCTCAGTCTGAATCTGGACTTTCACCTGTGTATCACAGCTTCAAGGCACTTCTTTAGGAAATAAGTATTTCACTCTGGTCTCTAACCATTAAACTCACATAAAAGACTAGTGGCAGCATGACAAGCACCAGCTGTGTTAGCATGATTCCAATGGAAGTGACATTATTGACCTGGGAGAGGAGCCCATGCACGTGGTACCTTTCCCTGCCAGACCTGCTCTGAAGATGCAGAGAGGATTTACCACCTCTTCTCATTCCAGTCATGATTAAACAGGAACATAGGCTGAGATAAATTAGCTGATGCAGTTGAAGGTATATGAAAAAGCAGAACTTTTCAGGATGAAAGAGTAAGAGTTCTAGAGGACTCACACATCTAATGGGATTCTGCAGCCACCAAGGAAAATAATTTCTGCACTGGATTTCGAAGTTACATCAAATGAATGCAGGCACCAGCCTCCCATGCAAGGCATTTTGGCCTCTCTGGGGACGATGTAGGACATTTCCAAGCTGTGAGCACAGGACTCCTGCATGAAGGGCTGCATTCATGCTCTGCTGTTGCAAGAACCCTGCATAAGATGCAGTGCTGTGCTGCACACGCTGGTGCATTGGGACAGCTCATGCAGGCACAGCCCAGTGCAATCTGCATCAGCTCTGCTTTCTGTGCTGTCTGTAGGCTGTTCCTCATGCTCCTACCCCAAACCATAATCCAATAAAAGAATTATAAAAATGCAACAGAAATAAAAATTCTTCTTGATATTTCCTACTGACTAACATAAGTACATGCCCTGGTTCCTGCCAAGCACGTAGGCTGCTGAAGATCCCATTCTGGGCTCCTTTGCTCATCCTCTGCACAGGAGAGGGATCCAAAGCACCAAGTGGAGGGGTCTAAGTCTCTTTCAGGAGCCCAGGTACCTAGGAGGTGTTGCAATGTCACATGCTGGAACACTATTCCATTTTAATATTTACAAGGAAAGAGGGAAGCCTTCATTGAAGACCTAAGCAACTGGCAATGGATAAAGAAACTTGGCCCTTTTATCCAGAATAAAAAAAAGAAAAAAGAAAAAAGAAAAAAAAAGAAGACATTTAAAAGCCCTCTGATCATTTAAATAAACTTTAGAGAATCATTTGAAGACATCTGTTTTACTATTTCACTTTAATGATGGGTGTGTGAAGCCTAAAGAGAATTTAAAGTTTTCCCTACTGTTTTTAATTATTGGATATTGTATAGTATTGCTTTTCAAGCCAAGGGTAACAGAAAGCCACAGGAATATATGTCAGTGCTTACCAGGAGCTGATTCAGGTTTGTTTCTGAAGGAGAAGAAAAGGGGACACTAACTGCAAGTGAATATTATAGTAGAGCTGACTGAATGTGGTTTTGCTTCATATAGTAAAACACTGGGAGCATGTATACAGATAATTATTACATCTCAACAAAAGAGTAGCAAATTCTTAAAGCACATTAATTTAATCATTTATGACCATTGAAGCAGATGTTTTCATTAGTTTTTCTCAGAGAAGTATAAAAAGTATTACAAATGTTGAGCAGCACACAGAAAATGTGATCACCACCAACCTGAATGATTCCTCCTAGAAATGAAACTGCTGCTGCAACTCCAATCCTCTGCATTTCAAATTCTGACAAACCCAAAATTCCTGAATTGTTGTTTGCAGTGAAATTAGTTCTGGCTGAAGGAACAAGACGTTCAACTGCATTGGCAGATATTAAGGAAGTCAGAGCAAAAGTTCCTGCAAAAAAAAGCCATACATTAATCACTAATAATTGTATATGTGTCTGTACTCATCACTCATGGTCTTTTTTTCAAAATGGCCATTATGAGTAAAAGTGCCATTTTGTATATACCTGTCATCATAAGAACAATTTTTAAGGTAATTTTTCCATGTAACACACATTTCTTCCCATAAAATACCATTTATACAGGCAAATTAAATGTAAATCTTTTTTTTTTAGCACATTTGTTAAGACAGGTTTACAAAAGAGATTTAAATACAATAATTTACAATGATTTCAAGTTATCAGAAATGCTTTTAATGTGATGAAGCAGCTATTTGTCTGAGAATCCCAAGTGTTCACCATTCAGACTTCTAGGGCAATTAATTCTCATTATATATATAGTACCTAGCCCATTAAATAGTACCTAGCACTCTAATAAATGGAGGCAAATTATGAGAAAAACATTTATTTACTGAGAGAGGTAAAGCACATTTAATGACACATAAATGAGGATGACAATTTAACATGAAAAGACACAAACAAAAGAGCTATTAGAGCATAAGAAAATCTTGCCATGCCAGACCAGTGGCCCATCTTGCCCAGTGCTCTGCCTCCAGCTGTGACAGTCAGAGGTGTTACCTGGGGAAAGCACACAAGCCTGGCCATTTTCTGTGGGCCATTGCCCTTACTGCCAGCATCCATAGCTGTTGTGCTAGAGTGGCCCCTTCTGATTTTGTTTGTGGACCAGCATTCACGGATTTGTCAAAGGTTTGTCTGAACCTGCTTGTAATTTCTCCTTCCACAATGTCTTCTGAGAGCAGGTTGCAGAAGTCCAGCATTTGGTGGACTGTTTTCTTTAATCTGTATTTTAAAGGTCTTTTAAAGCAATTTCTCTCTGAACTCGTTTTTTTCTACTGCTGCAGGACCTGGTGAACACAGTCCTGCCCTCACCTTGCCCTTCACAGAGTAAAGCTCACAGCATGAATTGCTCAGGAACCCACCAGGGATACCACCACCCTGAGAAATGACCATGAGGTCCAGCCTTTTGCTTCATATCTTTCAACCTGCTAATAATTAATAAAAGGACTTTTCTTCTATCACAAGGACAACTTAGTTTCTTTAGTAACCTTTGGTGTGGAACCTTATCAGTAGCTGTTTGACTGTTCTGATATCTTACATTCAAGGTATTTCCCTTCTCCATGCACTTGTTGACACTCATACAGTAGTCTAGAAGTTAGTGAGGTAGGATTTTCCTTTACAGAAGCCACATTAACTCCTTTCCAATAGGGTCTGATTATACATATCTTTTTTTGCCCCATCCCTGGAAGTTTCAAGGCCAGGTTGGATGTGACTCTGAGCAACTTGACCTAGTGGAAGGTGTCCCTGACCATGGCAGAGGGGTTGGAACTAGAAAATATTTAAGGTTCCTTCTAAACCTGGCCATTTTATGGTTGTAAGATGTTTGCATAAAATTAAATTTGGAAACAGCTCACATGAAATTCTACCTTAAATCAAAGACTTGTGTTATTTATGGCAGATAAAGATGTCTCTGAGGATGGTTAAAAATCAATTATGTTAACAAAAGTCAAGAAAAAGGTACATGTTTGTTGCTCAGGTGAAAAATCTTTTGAAGTAGATCAGCTATTTCAAAGAAGAGACATTTCAAGTGAATAAAAGTTAGCAGAGCAGGGCCATTGATGAATTTTTCATTTCATACTAATATGGCTGCCTCCTCTAACAAAGGACACTTTTACAGCCTGTGTACGTATGGAGAGCGTCAGAGATCTTACAGAAAATTCTGGTAAGTGAGGAGATTGTCTCCAGTGTGCATAAGGAATGTGGAGTATTTGAGACAGGCAGTACAGCTCCTACACACTCAGCTACACACCGTGATGCCTTAACTGAGACTGGGGGACCGAGTGCACGACACCTTCCTTCTGAGAAGACCAACAGTATATGTCACTCAAATTTATTAATTTAAAAAAAAATCCCTTGTGTGCAAGAAAACGCTTTTGTTGCCTTTTTTTGGATTGAGATTAAATTTTGAAATAGAATTATGAATGGAAAGAATTTCCACACCAAGGACCATGCAGAAAACTGCAGACATAAAGCTGTGGAACTCAGCAAGTCATTCCCTGAACAGTATTCTCTCCCAGTGATAAAACATCAGACTTAACAGCTTGTACTCACCTATTTTGTCATCTGTTTTCATTACTAGAATCTATGTCAGCCAGGTGCTTACTTATCTACTTTCCTACATATGATGGATTCTTGTCTTCTTAATAATCTTACACCAATAAACTTCTGACAATACATTTCTATTTTTTTTAGTTTTGAAAGAGCTTTTTAATATAGGCTAAAGTTTTAATCTATCTGTACTCAACAGTAAAATTTATTTTCCATATTCTAAATTTCCACCTTTTTTTGGAATGCTTCCCTTTTAACATGAGTTGAGTACAGTCCCTTACTCATTACAACATTTGGACACTAACATATCCACAGATTCTTCCTGGACATCAAAAGGCTCAAATGCTTTCTGTACATCTAGGGAGGGGAAAAAAAACCTTTCAGCTTTTATTTTTCTCTAAGACAATTTATAGCTGTTCAGAATTTTATTCTTTCAGAAAGTAACTGAATATTTTTGATCAAAAAGGGAGCTCGAAATGTGTTGCTAACTTCTTAGTAGAACATTACATACACTTGTGCAATCAGACTCCACATTTTGAGTGTGGTTACCCAGAACCACCTTTTTTCCTTTCTGGAGATTTTCTCCTCTTCAAGGAAGAGATACTTCCTTCCTTTTTAAATCTGACAGTGACAGGGGCTGCTTCCCTTACCCTTTCCTTCCCTTTACCCAGCCATGCTGTGCATTGCTACTGGGCCTATCTCATCCTTCTTGCAAATTTCAGGGGCCATCACTGCCCATTTCTGTGCTGCAAAGAATTTGTGGTTCAGTCTAATGAGTATTATTCCCAGCTGCCCTCTATAATTTGATATCTTTGGGCTCAGAAACAGATCATTCATCAACCTACGGGGAGAACAAAGCCATTCAATTCTTCAGCTGCTGTGGCTCTGCTGAGGGTAAACAAGTAACTCTTAACTACAGGCAGAGTAGCCAGGCAGCACTTTTCACTGCCTACCCAACTACCCTGTGAGAGGACAAGAGTCCTCATTGGGAGAGTCTCTAGCTTTAATGCAATATCAGGTAGTGTGCTCAGAAGGTCGTTTTTGTTTTTCTTTTCCTGAGAAATGCAGGATTTGTGTTTTAGACAGGTGACAGGTAATGTGTGTTTTCTATGGTTTAAGAGTCAGTCAAAGCTTTTTCATTTCCATTTACATGCATCTTATTGGCAGAGACCTTTGTTAAACTCTTAGCCTGAAGCAGATTTCTAAAGCAGATTTAAAATACAAAAGCTCTTACTAAATTACATTTACAAAGGAAGTGTCAATGCAATATTAAATTATAATGGTGGGAGTAACTCCAATATTTTCTTAATGAGGCTCTTTAAAGTACTTAAACTGACAAAAAATAGTTGTAAAGAGAAGCACAAAAACATCTTATTTCTATTTAATCATAGATAATTTTCCTTCCATTAACCTTTAAACAAGAATAAATTTCAGTATCCAGTTCCTTATTTTTGAAAATGACTTTAGCAAACAGACACTTACCTGTTGCAACATGACGTCCCATTCCAAATATGGCATAAATAATGACAGGGAAGAAAGATCCATATAAACCAAAAACTGGATGAACTGAAGACAGAATAGCAAAGGCCAGCCCTATAGAAAGTTAAAGAGAATTACTTCACAGTATGAAGAAAAAACTGTACTGTTTGCTTTGTTATTTTTTATTTTTATGAGGAAATGTCTATAATTTTATTAAGAGCAGGAAAAAACTTGCCTTCCTTTATTAAAACATAGAGTGTGAGTGAGCTACTGCACAATAAGGATCAGAAATTTTCATTTCATCATCAAAATCCGCATATCCTACCATGTTTCCAAGCTGTCTCCATCAGTGGTTCCAAGACTCTTTCAATAGCCAGGCCTCACAGGAGGAGGCAGCATTGTTTCACCCCCACCCTACAAACATGGGTTTGAGACTTCCAAGTCTGCAGGCAGTGGGATGGTCATTTCTTACAAATGTTTCAAAACTTGTAATTTTGGTTTGGATGGAGTCCCTTCAGTCTGCTTTCTTCTAATTTCTTAAACAAAAAAATATTCCAGAGTTCATCCTCTCTTAGGTGCCTGGAGTTTTTAAACCTTTAGATATTAACATTTCTTTCACCATGTAAAACTGACTGTTCAAAAACAGAAAGTATTTGACTTTCACGTTGAGATGGAGAACGAACAGAATTGGTTCAGGTTTAACTTTATAGACTTACTAATTACCTTCATTGCTTAGCCATAAAGGATAGCATCCACCCTTTTCTTAGAAAGTCTTGGAGAGGAACTCAACTTTCAACAGAGACAGTCCTGCAAAGAGCAGATTTGGTTGCTTTTCAGCTTGAGATACCTAAGATGGCAAGTCAGACTGCACTGGCTTCTTGCAAGTCATCAGCAGGAGACTCCCAGATCAGCAGGCTCTGCGCCCCTTTCACAGCCCTTACCACTGGAAATGAGAGTAGGAGAACTTGCCTTGCACAGTTGCTCCATAAATTTTGGTGAATACCTCATCATGCAGTCTGGAAGAAGGGACTGGCCTGTGTAACACACAAGATGCTTTTCTGAAGTCCATCTTCAACCTGAGTGTATTCACAAGCCCAGGGCAGACCTGTGTGTGCTGGGAGAGTGGCCAGGTGTGCTCTGTGACAGAGGAGATTCAGATCTGGGGAATGGAGTTGCCTTCTGTGTACATGAGAAATCCCCAAAGAAAACTAAATATGTAGGATTAATTGTTCTCACCAAGCTTTCCTAACTGCTCCAGAAAGCAGTTCTTTACAAGCAGTTCTTTCTTTACCTGAAAGGGTGGTGTTATGGGGCTGAATGGAGAGGGACAGAGTGTCTTTGTTTATGGGCTTTCAGAGGCTATTCTGAACATTTTTATTCAAAATCTTGTTCTTAAATTTTCATTTGAGTCTGTAACAAAGTGCGCATTGTGAGGGGAGGCAAAAGAATGCAAAAAAAATCAGAAGTGTCAAGTTCTCAATGAAGCAGTTCAGCCATTCTTAGAAAAACCTCACAGTGAAGATTTTGCTGAGGTGAATCCTACACGGATCAATTTCATCCACATTGTGCTCAGCAAAGTAGCACTATCAAGTATGACTTGGAGAAGAGATATTTTAAAATGTGTTTAGATTTAAACTTCTTTTAAACAGAAATGGACTAGGATGTTTTTCAGCCTTGTAATTAGTCTATCCACTGAGAATCACTTCTACATGTTTCTCTTAGCGCAGCTATTTTTTCTTATCATAAACCAGAAGAAAGCCCTTTGAAATTGTAGTGCAACGTCCATGTCCACATGATCAATAGAGGTAAAAGAAGATTCTGACCCAAGAGAAACACAGAAGGGTGTGCCTGAGGAGAATAAAAACAGCACAGGAGAGAACTGCATGACCCAATCCAGACAAAATAGAGCATGGAGTGGGTGGGGGGAAATGGAGAATAGGAGAAAGAAATGTTTAAATCTTGTTTAACACTGTAAAGCTCTTCCATTATAACCATTCTATGAAGAAAATGAAAAGGAAACAAAAAATTTGGAATTAATTCACTAGTTGAATAATACTCACATACATTCTAGCCTTGCAATAAAGCATTATGCTAGGCTAATTCATTTTAATCTCCAAAAAGTAAAGTATTCAGAAAAAATTGGTATAACTTCACTCTCATTTTAATTGTAACAATTGAAATGAAGTGACCTGTCTGTGTTGACAAGCATAAGGGAAATACTCAAGTTTCAGTACAGAATGATGAGCCAGGTAGGTACTTTAGAAGGTTTTTAGGAAGAGCTTGTTAATCCTGGTTATGGTTATAAATCCAGATGATCTGCTGCTGATAAATACCACTTGTGTACAGACAGATAATCTGAATTTAAATTTGGCCTTTGTTTTTCTCCATTTCATGCCTAGACCTCTCACATTATTTTGTATTAAGTTTCTAGAAGCAGTGTGTCACGTTTTTCATGGTATGGTCATGGCAATCAAGACAGAACTAAAATTACCAGCCTTTGACTTGATTCCTGGCTCTGTTTGTTAGGTTTTTACTGAAGCATGTCACTTACTGAAGTGTGTTAAGAACAGAAAGGCACCATAAAACAGAATCAGCAAAGACTTGGTTTTCTGATTAGGCATAAAATGTTCTAAAGGTTCAAATACTTTTCAAGATGTAATCAGTAGTACATTTAAGCTTATTTAATTAATTCATTTAATTTTCATTGTTTTTTGAATTAAACTTCACTGCAATGCATTCTGTTTGCTCAAGAACATTCCTGTCAAAAGACAGGAAACATTTTCTTTTTTTTTTTTTCATTCCAAAGAGTAATACTTAAAAGAAATAGATCATAAAGTAAGGATCTCACATAATCTTCACTGGTAATATGGAGAAGCCCCCATGGCAGTGACATTAAGGTTTTCATATAGGAAAATAAATTCCATGAAAAGAAATGCAAACAAATACTTAACAGTAAGTTTGAATACAGTACATTAATATTGTTTGATTTAACTACCTCCTTATCATAAGATAACATTGTGGGACACACTTTCACTGAAAACCATGACCTGTGACTAGCACCAGGTGCTTAACAGTCCTCTGGCACACCACACTGAACAGCAAGAGATGATCAACACTGTTGCTTGCTGTCAAATGCAAGGAACTGCAAAATAACAAGCTTGATACGAAGAGAAACAAGGCCATCTCCTACCACAGGAGAAAGGTCTCAGTTTGAGTTGGAAGTTTCTGCTAATCAGATTAGTGCCAAAACTACAGCAATAAAAAAATATTTTCCACAGGAAGAGCTATCAATCACCAGAGTATAGTCAACTAGTTAACAGTTTTCTGCATCTGATAATATGCTCATGAAAAATACATCTGAGGAAAACTGTACCATGTCTTTTGGAAATACTAGGTGCAAAGCAGAAATTAAATTAAGAAGCAGGAAAATTATTAAGCCTATAATTAATCTGAGGAGTATCAACATTAATATCATTCAGTATTTACTGTAAAAAGCTATATATTTTAAAAGTTTTTCTGATAGAGTGCATATTCAAATTATTTTCTGTAATTGTAACGTTTTACTCTTAAGTGGGACTATAAGACGGTCAGACCCCAGGTTTATGGAACCCTAAATGACACTAATTCCTCTTATCCCACTCAAAAATGCTATCTACTGTTGTGGGTGCTCTCTGATGCTTCAGAAAAATACAATTTCTCCAGTTGTTCACAAAGTTCTACGATATAGTAAGAAAGGTAATTTCTGAGGATGTTCTAAAATGTAGAATTGATACATATTTGATCAGTCTCCTTTAAATGCTTCTTGGAGAACTAACAAATCAGACAACCAATGACTCATATCCCAAGCTTCAATTTCTAATTCCAGGACAGCTAACTTCTATTGAAAAAAACAAGAAATTTTTTTCCACCCCAGGAAAAAAAATTACATTATGTTTCATAGCAGTTTTCCTACACAAACCTACAGTTCTGGGGGGTTCTTTGACAACGGTTTTGTAAAAGCTCGTAACAAAAAACAAACCTTTGGAAATAATATCATTAACCTGCAAAAACTGGGAAGTTCAGTATCAGTTCATTCAATGGACATTTACCTCATGCTTGCATGACCTCTGTTACTTAACAGCCCCATTTGCCATTTGGGGCTACGCAAATGGATCGTAGCTTCCATCTTATTTATTTAGTGACAAAGTACCAAGAGCTTAAAATCATTCCTTGGTTCTTCAGTCATTCAAAGCCTGAAGTAAATGAAGGATGTAAAGACAAAATAGAAGGACAGATTCTTAAAAATGAGCCATAAATCTTTCAGAGACTACACAATGTTGATTTTGCAGCCCCCCTCTTTTATGAAGGATCCTTCAGTGCAGTTCCTTCCCTTGCAGCTGTCTCCTTCAGCCTGGTGGGAGTTAACCATAGTACCTGAATTCGCAGCATTTGACAGACTCTGAAATGCAGCTCTCCCAATGCACCATCTGACAACCACATCAAAGGGAGATTTGAGAAAACACTGTTCTGTTCTGCCACTTTACAGATCTCCAGATACTGGCATTTGTATCTTAATGTTCAAAAGGGAAATATGCAAGCGTTGTGGAACAAGAAACGAATGGATGGCACGACCCGCTTATGATTTCACTATTCAAGACTACTTGACCCTTCTGTATGTAATAGAGTTTAGATATGTACAAAACAGAACATTAAGAATTTCTACTGTTTTCTTTTCTTATAATAGAGCTCCTCAAAAAAGGCTATCAGTCTTGACAGACAATCTGAGATGAAATGCTAAGACCTCTTTAGGCTGAATTTAACGCAATATCTAAACACCACAAAGACTTTTATGTTGTTTCACAGTGAGTTCTATGAGCTATTATCCACTAGTCAGCCATAATACCTGAAGAATTCAGCCACCTAGAGAATCAAAGAAGCATTTTGACAGTGGATTATAGGTAAATTTCTCTGTATTTCAGTAAGAATAAACAGAGAATGAAGCCATAAGAAACTTCTGGCAGGGAGGTAACTATGAGGTAATCTTTTGAGAAACAAAAACCTATCATAAGTGATTGCAGGCCTTAATCCAGATGAGGTGGACTTGCTGAAATCCATGAAAAGGGCATTCACTTTGG